ATACAGACTACTGCACAGCTGGTGGTAACAGTTTCATGAGTACATTGATAAAACTCACCGAACCCACGACGCTAAGGTGGTGCATCAAACTTGGAACCCTGGCGAATGTGTTCTGAGAAGACAGCCAGCATACCTAAATTTAAAGCGTCAAATTCAGAGAGAAAGTCTCTGTATAAAACAGCACGTCCCTAGTACCATCCACCAAGCACACAAACAGCTGGTAGACTGCTGCCTAGTGATCCACGTACATCCACAAATCCCTTACAGGGCCAACATCACTCTGAGCATCGGCATTATGCGAGGCTGAAACTCAGCAGATAAGGCGGGCAGGGATCAACCTGTGCTCTGAACGGTGTAAGCGACTTCGGAACGTAGCTTGGTATCGGACTGAGAGTGACGCTGCAGTCATCAGGTCCGAGACAATGCGACAACATTCACTAGAATGAGCGTAAGTCTCCAAGTGCTTCGCTGGGGCGAGAGCCGGTGGTAAGGCCATCTCAGGGAGAGCTCCGTCTCAGCACTTGTCAGTGTGAAGTGTCTTGCTCAACTAAGGACCCAGCAGCGGACACACAAGAAGGTTCCACAGCTTGGGGCTGGGGTGCCACCTTGTAGAACATAGCCGATGTTCTATAGCCAATGTACAGAAGTGCAAATCAACACATTACTGAATGTACATAAACACAGTGCCAGTGGCCGTAGCGACGACAACTGTGAATATACGCAGTTAGAAAATAGCCCCATAATAGTATAGCACCTCAGTAAGCACACAAACACAGTCATAACTGTAGCTACAACTGTGAATATATGAGTTAGCACAGAATAACCAGTTGCCCTGACAGGAACGGGGCAATATAACAGCGTAGCACATGCACGTACAGCATAGGTCGCTGTAGCGCCAACTTAATACACGCAGTTAGCTCCGTATTAGGCTGAAGGATACGGGGCAACACCGCTGCATGAACACATCCATTTGTAAATAAATGCAGCGCATGTCGCCGTATCGACGGAGACTGTGAATATGCACAGTTTGACTGGGATAGCTAGTTGCACTGAAAATACAGGGCAACATGGCAGCATAACACAAGTGAGCAAGGAATAGCACATCCTTGCATGTACATAACGCAGCGTAAGTCGCTGTAGCAACAGAAACTGTGTAGAGACAGAAACTAAGATGCATAGTTAGATTAGGATGGCTAGCAGCACTGAAGGAAACAGGGCAGCATTACAGCATAACACATCCGTTTACGTACATACATCCAGAACTATGAATATGCACGGTTTGATTAGGATAGCTAGTTTTGCACTGAAGGAAACAGGGCAACAAAATAGCAAAAACACGTCCTTGTACATGCCGTGTAGTCGCCATAGCGACAGAACTGAATATGCAGTTAGATAGGATAGCTGGATGTTGCACTGAAGGACAGAGGGCAACATAACAGCATTACCCATCAGTGTGCACATTTCAAACATCTGAGTGTATAATGCAGTGCAAGTCGATGAAGCGACCGAGACTGCATGAATATGCACAGTTCACATAATGGTCAGTTACGTTAGCCACATAACTGCATAACGCTTCAGTGTGGACACAGATGCAGCGCAAGTCGCCGTAGCGACAAACTGCACAGTTAGATAGGATAGCTAGGTGCACTGAAGGATACAGGGCAACGCGATAGCATAGTCACATTAGTGTGTACAAAAACACAGCGTCAGAGGCATCGCGACATCGACTGTGAATACATAGTAAGTCAGAATAGCCGGTTGCACTGATGATACAGGGCAATATTTAGCGGCGTAAACATAGCACATCAGTGCGTAGCGTGTACACAGCGTCAGTTGCACCGCACAACAACTGTGTACGTAATCAGAATAGCCATTTGCACTGAAGGACACAGGGCAATATATAATGGCATAAATCATTACACATAACAGTGAGTTGTATGTACGTAACACAGTGTCAGTTGCATCGCGCCACACTGTGAATACGTAGTAATCAGAATAGTTATTTGCACTGAAGGATACAGGGCAATATACAACGGCAAAATTCATAACACATAGTGTGTACATAAACACAGCGTCAGTTGGATCGCACAACAACTGTGAATACGTACTGCATAGTAATCAGAATAGCCATTTGCACTGAAAATTACAGGGCAATATATAATGGCATAAATCCCAACACATAACGCTGTGTAGTGTGAACGTAACACAGTGTCAGGTGCATCGCACAACAACTGTGAATACGTAGTAATCAGAATAGCCATTTGCACTGAAGGATACAGGGCAACAACGGCAAAATTCATAACGCAGTGTGTACGTAACACAGCGTCAGTTGCATCGCACAACTGTGAATACGTAGTAATCGGAATAGCCATTTGCACTGAAGGATAAGGAACAGGGCAATATATAATGGCATAAATCATACACATAACAGTGCATGTGTACGTAACACAGCGTCCGTTGCATCGCAACAACTGTGAATACGTAGTAATCAGAATAGCCAGTTGCACTGAAGGGTACAGGGCAATATCGTGGTATGAATCATGAACACATATCAGTGTGTAGAGTGCACGTAAACACAGCGTCATTTCATCGCACAACAACTGTGAATACGTGGTAATCAGAATAGCCATTTGCACTGAAGAAACAGGGCAGCATATAACGGCGCAAATCTTAGCACATATCGGTGTGCAGTGTGAACATAAACACAGCGTCAGTGGCGTAGCGACAACAACTGTGATTACGTGGTTAAATCAGAATGGCCAGTTGCACTTTGGGATCCAGTGCAATATATAAGGGCATAACAGTTAAATCATAGCACAAATCAGTGTGCAGTGTGTACATAAACACAGCGTCAGTGGCGTAGCGACAACAACTGTGAATACGTGGTTAAATCAGAATGGCCAGTTGCACTGAGGGATACAGGGCAACATATAAGGGCATAACAGTTAAATCATAGCACAAATCAGTGTGCAGTGTGTACATAAACACAGCGTCAGTGGCGTAGCGGCAACAACTGAATACATGGTTAATAGAATGGCCAGTTGCACTGAGGGATACAGGGCAATATATAAGGATATAACAGTTAAACCATAGCACATATCAGTGTGCAGTGTGTACATAAACACAGCGTCAGTGGCATAGCGACAACAACTGTGAACACGTGGTAATCAGAGTAGCCATTCGCACTGAAAGAAACAGGGCAATATATAACGGCACAAATCATAGCACATATCAGTGTGCAGTGTGAACATAAACACAGCGTCAGTGGCGTAGCGACAACAACTGTGGATACGTGGTTAAATCAGAATGGCCAGTTGCACTGAAGGATACAGGGCAGCCTGACGACATAAGCTGTAAGCTGTGCACCTCCATCACCAGAGCGGGGCGTCCTGGCGCGGCGCTCTCCGTGGCCTGTGTCGCCACATTCCCGGTCCCACCCTCTGCCAACGGTGAAGATCCGGTTTGTTCGGGTTCGAACCGTTTTGGCGGCTGTAGCTGAATTAGGCGGGACGAGGTGCCGACGAAGAGAGACATCGAGGAAGGCTGGACCGTATAGAGATCAAAAGTTTCGGTTTAAAGTCTGGCCGCGGCGAGACTAAATTGTATCTGCTGTGAGAGCTAGGATCGAACACGGGTCTCCCGTGCGACTGCTTTGGGTTTCGCCACTGAGCCACAGGGGGAAACAACCACTTTCGCGCCTTTAGACACAGAGCCATGGCCTTGCCTCGTCTCTCTGGATGCATCTTCGCATGACTTACCATAGGACGTCGTGAAGACGGAATCTTTCTTGAAGTAGCCTGGCTGTAAGATACCGGGCTAAGTAAAATAATAAAAGTATTCTTTCCGACGAAGCCTAACGCGTCGAGTCCTTCTAGCGAGCCCGCGAAAAGGACCGGAGAGGCGACGGGCAGGTTAAAATGTATCTGCTCGAGAGCCGGGATCGAACACGGGTCTCTCGCGCGAAGGCTTCGGGTTCCGCCACTGGGCCACAGGGGAGAACGACTGTCAACTCTTCGTTGGGCGTGAGAGGGCCCACCAGCGGCCGCTGGCGGCAGTGGGCCTCATCCCTGCTGATGCCCGGGTTTATGAGGGCGCGCACTGGTAGACCAGCACATGCCTGTCGTCCCTGAGTGCGGCCTCAGTAGATCCTTGTTTGGGTAGAGCGAGTCAATACCGCACATATCTGGCATGTAGCAGCCATCGGATGCGGGGAGGAAACATGGTGCGTAACCTCTATTGCAACTTCCACTATGACTTCAGATAAGACTTCTAGCGTGAAGAAAGAGATTCTGACGTAATTGTCGCGCCCATGCTATTTATACTGCCCGCGGACCGGTCAGCATTTGCATGTTTTGCGTCAATTGGTCAGCTGTCTCCAGCTGGCGTTAACCTATACGATTTCAGTGAAAATGGAGAAGGGAGGAGTTCCCATATACGTCAGTATGACGTAATGTCGAAGTGACCGCCTTGAAAGGGAACCCATATACAGAATTTGTTTACGAGGTAGATGGCATCATTTTTTAAAAAATATATATATAATTATTCCCTCTATATTATCGTGTTAATTCGACAGCTACTGTACAACTTTTTCCATGGCTTTCAACTATTCATTCAGGCGCCATTTTTATTCTTTCAAACAAACAAGCAAGCGTTAATCGCTCAGTCTCAAACAAAGTGCAAATCTCCAAAACGTGCTGCTGTACATTAACAGTATATTAATTAGCGGTTAAATGGCATCTATTAATTGAAGACTGAGCAGCTGGCACTGGTAGAAGGAGAGTACTGTAGGAGGGTCTGGCATGATATGGGCTGCACATCGTGGTCAGGGAACGTGCCAAATGCCATTCCAGTGCCTCTGAAACGGGGTCGAAGGTTAAGAAACATTGTGGCTCAGAAGACAGATGTCCATGTAGATATTATCATTCTGTTTGAGAGCTGAAATCACCTGCACATTTAAGAGTCCAAGTTTTTCTGTCAAATTTTAGCTCTGGCAACAAATCCAAAACTCAGAGTCAGATAAAGTACATTTTTACCCATGCAGCACCATTTGTTTAGAAATTTTCACAGAAAATCTATGGAGTTATAAATGACCCATTTTACTGTATCAAGTGTGTCACCATATGGTTATCACAGTAGGTGGATCCTTGTGGTACTTGGCAGCATCAACTGTATAATGACCGACTGCGGTTTTCATGTTGTCCTTAGAGACATTATAAACGTTCGATTTATGTGCTGGAATGGGGGTTACCTTTGCTTATTTCCTATCTGAACTGTATGTAATTGGTGTTAGTTTTGTGAATGCAAATTAACATAGTCTGTAATGTGTCTTACAGATTTGACTGGCAAAAAGGATCTGAAGAATCTCAGAGAACAAGGTAAGCCTCATGCTTATTGCTTATTAAGTGGTTGCTAGGGTGCTGCTGGTTGGTTTATGGTGTGTTCTGAATGGTTGTTAAGGTTAACTATGCTTTGATTGACATATATGTAGATGACAGACAGACAGACAGACGGATAAATGGATAGATAGATGTATAGATGGATGGATGGACAGACGGATAGATGGATGGATGGACGGACAGACAGACAGAAAGGTGGATGGACAGACAGAAAGGTAGATGGATGGAAGGATGGATAGATAGATAGATAGATAGATAGATAGATAGATAGATAGATAGATAGATAGATAGATAGATAGATAGATAGATAGATAGATAGATAGATAGATAGATAGATAGATAGACAGACAGACAGATAGATAGATAGATAGATAGATAGATATACTGATGGACAGATAGATAGATGGATGGATAGATGGATGGACAGATAGATGGATAGATAGATGAATGGACAGATGGATAGACAGACAGAAAGGTAGATGGATAGATAGATAGATTGAAAAATGGATAGACAGACAGATAGATGGATGGATGGATGGATGAATGGATAGATACTAAGATGGATGGACAGATGGATAGACAGACAGAAAGGTTGATGGATAGATAGATGGACAGATGGATCTAGACATACAGACAGACAGATAAATAGATGGATAGATAGATAGACGGATGGACAGATAGATAGATAGACAGACATACAGATAAATAGATGGATAGATACAGTATATAGATAGATAGATAGATAGATAGATAGATAGATAGATAGATAGATAGATAGATAGATAGATAGATAGATAGATAGATAGATTTCAATTGGCAATATTTTATTTGAACAATATTTGATAGGAACATTATTGCAAAACAAAGCAGAACTGCTTCTCCATATGACAAGACACCTCCGATTCCTGCATATCCAGCTGTCTGACAGGCGTTGTGATGACACAGGAGGGGACATGTTTCCACTTTTCCAAATGATCCAGACATCTCACAGTCTCCTCAGAGGAGCATCTATCCTCCATCACTGTCAGTCATTGGTCTCCTGGGGGCATATGGTTTACTGCCACAGACCTTTTCCACTTCAGTCATTAGGGTGCCTTGTAAATGAACTTAGACTTATGGACACATCTTGCTGAATGACTCATTCCAGCCCAAATGTGATCTTGAGTTACACATTGCTAAAACAGGACACATTCCCGTCTTAGACGTCCGGAAGCTTTACGATGTAATTAATCAAATGTTGATTCCACAAGGGTCAATAGAGTGTCGGGAGAGACGGATGTCGATTTCTTAGCTAAGTGAAAAAACAAGTGGTGTTGAAGGCAAGGCCCAGTGTGGATGCGCTGGATAAATCCATCAGGAGCGCTGACAACCAGCCGTCAGTGGCTGCACATCTGCGCCCATCTGCGCCCGAGGCTCGTGTCTTTTATTGCTTTTATTTGCTTTCTTCAGATGAGGGCAGAAGTTCACTGCGACTGAATCTCACATCCCTTGGAAATTGAGGCGATTATTACATTGCAAAATGTAAGATTAATCATTAAATTAAAGGTCATTTAGCTTGTGATCATTGAGAGAACCTGATTGTTGACTGAATTAGAAGAGAACAGTGCAGAGCTCAACATTAAGCATGGTCGATGTGACAGGAGTTTTGGGCTAGTTGATGGAAATGCATTGTCATTAGGTCTTGTTTAATGAGCATTTGCGTTTTATGTACCTTACAAACCTGAACATTCGGTTTTCTGTCATGTAGCCTAGTATTGAAGATTTTTGATGCAAATTCAGCTGATTTAAATATCATGGTATCCATGGTAAATCCATGGTAAAGTTGGTTTAGATGAAGGTTGATCAAAATTGCAAGAAGCATCAGTTCGGTTTAAATAATAAACAAATCACGCCATGCCATGTTTTTCAAGCCAAAGCCACAGATTCAAAAGTTTTTGAAATGCGTCCCTCATGCTCACCAAGGCTTCATTTGTTCCATTAAAAATACAGTAAAAACAGTAATATTGTAATAATAATTGCAATTTAAAATAACTGTTTTGTATTTAAATATATTTTAAAACGGAATTTGTTTCAGTGTCTTCAGTGTCACATGATCCTTCAGAAATCCTTCAGAAATCCTTCTAAGATGCTGATCTGCTGCTCAAGAAACATTTCTTATTCATACTGACCCCAAACCTTTGATTAATAGTGTATGTTTATTAATTTATGTTGAACCATTCAAATATCAGCAGTGCATGTATAAATCTACTGGACCAGAAAAAAATAAAATAATTGAAATATGAAACACAAACCCATTTTAATTTGATTAATATTTATAAACAAACACACTTTATAATCTTTATTAAAGTTCGAATAATCTTACGATTCACAATAGTTTGTCTCTTGTTCAAAACCTGAAGGACGTCTGTCAACTTGAGATGAAAAATTGTCATCGTTTGATTGCTTTTTTGGCAGACGGGTCATAGAAAAGTGCATGTTTACCACAGCAACGGACCAGGTGAGATGTCAATAGCATAAAATACATCATCGGTCATCGCCTGTCTTCAACCTCGCCATCAATATTCGACCTGATGCCTCATGGCAGTGTGTACTTTCAGCTCATCACTCAAACCAAGCGTTTCCCCAGCTGCTCCAGAGTTTAGTGTGAAGATGCAGATGTTTGACCACACCTGGCAGCTGTCCCTCTTCCCCCTTGTTCAAGGTGCTTACCTCCTGTCCGAGCGCATGCAGCCCTTCCCGGCTCCCCTGCAGCTCGTGCGGATATGGGGAAGCCTGGTGACTGAGATGAGCTATGTGTTTCCCCCCGGAGTCTTCTGTCCCCCCGAGGAGCCACGCTGCCTTCCCATTTTCTCACAGTCACTTCCTCTCCTGTCAACCTGGGAATGTGCTGGCAGCCGTCAAGCCACGGAGACCAGGAAAACTTTTCCCATGTGACAGATATAACAACTCGGGGAAACCGTTACAGTTTCTGTTTATCATACACTTGCCATTACCTGGCACTAAGGACTGCGCTGCAAGTCAGATGCACAAGAAAACAAATCATTCATTCTTCTGCCGAGCGTGATTCATAGCACGAACGCTTCTGCATGTAGAACAGGAGGAATTACGAAGAGATGCACCTGATTATCGGTGCGCATTCAGATGTTAAAGCGCTTATCGATAGTTTCAAGAGCGTTCATGTGAGGTGTTTGGGCTTTTCAGAACCCACGTTTCATTGTATGTGGCAAATGATCCAGAATCCACGGCGCATTATCTCAACCCAAATGCGGAATGAAATGTTATTGCTCAGGGACTTTTAATCTCCCACAACCCTCTGTTCATTTCAGAGCAATTCCCACCTGGTTTCCATGGCATCCGTCCAACTCACAGCAGGAAAGGAAGCAGATCTCGGCAGTGCTGAGTTCGCCCTCTTCTGGACGGAAGTGAGGGCTCCAATAAGCCTTGGTCTAATTAGCCATGCTGTCAAAACATTTCTGCACAAGTGCTTTTAGAAAACTCTGCTGCATGCTCACGCTGAACTATTCCGAGGGGAGATTTGTTAATTTGGGCTTATGTAACGCTGCAGCTTGCTGCCATTACAGGAAAAACAAATGAAAAGGTCAAATGATAGTAAATCCAACCCAGAAAGAACCTCTTAACACAGCTCAGACAACACCCTTCATCCACCTTTTGCATTGCGAACAATTTCCCCTTTAAACGCTCTGATCAGGTCCCATATTGCTCAATAAAAGATTTACATTACTTGGAATAAATCATTCAAGTACAGAAAGAATTAGATGTTTCCAGGTATTATCGATTTAAAACTCAACCTTTCTTGTAAAGCAATTTGAAATAAGAGAGTTAAACATATAAAGCAAGCACTTTTATTTGTTTGAACAGATACATAGATTTATATTGTACACTTTTTTTTGTTGCTATCTTGTGTTCTTATACATGTACTAACCGTGGTTAAAAAAGGCAACTGTTAATGGAAACAATGGCAAGTATACAATACAATTAGCAAACATATCAAAATCAGTTTTTACAACATTTTTAGCAACCAATTCTTTTTATTGGTCTGCCATAGTGCAAACTGTGTGGTTTGAAGACAGAGTGGTAGCGTGATATTAACATTCATTCTTACAGTTCCGACGTCTCTGTCTCGAACACATTTTAATGTGTAGACCGCATTCACAGCGCCTCTGCTTCAAGTCCTTCTCTCCCTTAATGTCGATTTCAATAATACTTCAAGTGTGTAGGGCTGTTCGACAGATGAGTAGTGGACAAAAGCTATGATTAACAATTCGATCTGTGTGTTTATTGCAGTGTATGTGGAAGTTCGCGTCAGATAACCCTATTCAAGCTCTGTTCAATGTTCGAGAGTCCCTCTCTGTTTCTCTTGGATACTCTTCTTAAACAAGCTCACTGGTTACAGCAAAGATCTAAATGATTGTATTTTGGAGTGGTTGTGATATATATTTTTTTTGTATGTTGTCTGTGTATCCTAATGAGAGTATTCTGACAAGGTGAAAACATGAAATAAAGCAGAGAATGTCATCCATTTCAATAGTGTCCATTTCCAAGACATTCCTTTAGTATATCCATGTGACATTGGACTCCTGTGGCAGAGATACTGATTTAGAGGAAAATGACAAAAAAAAAAACATAGTCAAATGAAGCGGTGCCCAGAGAGTGAGTGAGCGTCCTTCTATTGCACAGTGTCTTGCGGAAAGCACTGATAATGGATGGCGGGTGGTGTGATCAGATGTCCGGGTCTTTGAGACGGATCAAGTCCTGTCTGGGCACTGGTTCACGAGCAGCCACAGCGGTCTACTACCATTGACGGGATCTTGCCGTAGATGATCTGCTCTTTGCCGTTGAAGTATAGCATGTTGATGGGAGACATCTTGGTGGGGGTGCAGCAGGGCCCGGCGGTGCCTCGTGGATTAGCCTTGTTCACCAGATGGGTGTGGGGATACTTCTGCAGGTGCATGTAGTCGCATTCTCCTGAACAGTAATTCGCCTTATAACGTTTTGGAGCAATAATCCAGTCCCAGCCGAAGTCCTCGAAGTCCACAGTGAGAGGGTATCTGCAGCACCGGGACTCGGAGGAATTCTCGTCGCAGTCCAGTCCAGAGTCCCTCCGGATCCGCTTTGGGCCCTCTGAGATTTTCACCTCCATAAAGGGGAGCTGTAAGAGAACGAACCCAAAAGAGCCAGCGTTTCAGTTTACTCTTGCTACTTTCATATCTATGGGCATTTGTCCAACGATTAGCGAATGCTAAATCTAGCCAATTCGGATATGATTAAGAAAGGGAAAGAATTGAATTATTCTGGTGCTGAATCCACTTAACAATTCCCGTTCCTTAATGGTGCCATTAAGGATTCTTGTAGTAAAAAAATAAATTCATTCAATTCATACTGCATTTACTGCAAATCATGAGATCAATTTAGATTTCAGCACAATCAAAATACAGGTAATACATTTTTTGCTTTTTAAATGGGTTTTCACACACCTTAAATACTAAAACATTATTTTTATAATGTACCACCACTGATTACAACACAAGTTGTCTTGATAACAACCACTAACTACTCTGGTTCAAGTTTCAGGAGTCTTAACATAATATTCTTTTCAGTTTGTTTTAACTTTCGAGTCAAATATCAGAAAGTAACTCGCAATTAGTGAGTCAGTTTAACTCTGTAACTGTTTCGACTGATTCATAAGTGTTACCAGCTAATAATAGTAATTCGTTCGGGAATCGGACTGTACTAAGCATGCTGTTGATTCATTACAAGAAATAGGTCAAAATAATCGTTAGTTCTAAAACCGAATTACTGTGGTCGCGCTTTTCGTTTTTGATTCACTAAAAAGAACCGGTTTGAACGAATCATTCGTTCAGGATTCGGACTACATTTACAAAAACATTCACGACTACACTGATCACTGAATGTTCCGCGCTCTGAAACATGGAATTAAGAACATTTTTACATTGGTGCTACAGGCACTACTTTTTTTGGGAGATTGCTGATTTGAAACAACCATAAATAATTTCTTGCTATTATCATTCACAGCAACTACTATTGACGGAGTTCTGTCTAAATGTGGTTGTATTGTGTAAAAAAACGCACATTTGGTAACACAACAACTCAACTTACCAGTCCATCCTCTCCAGCCTCAGCGGAGGTAACGGCCAAGTCGTTTCCCTTCGCGTCATACGCGTTTATCTCGATGCCCCAGTTGGTCTCCGGTTGTCTTAACCACACCGTGAGCACCTGCTTTACGTCTATACTCTGCCAAGAGGTGACTCCTGCGTTCACATCGATCTTCAGGGATCGTATTCGTATGTGTCTTCCTCCGTCCGTAACGGGCATCAGCCGTGATATCTGTAAGAAGACGGTGGTCACTTCTTCCGCCGGTCTCAGATGAACCCAGACCTGCGCTCTTACGATCCGGTTCGCTTGGATTTTCGGACTGAATGAGAAAAAACAACACTTCGGTTTCCGATCTACTTGAACGATGGGGTCAGCTGAAAAAAAAAAAAGAAGAGAAAGTAAATCAGAGGGATTATACGGGATCTAGGCTACTGGTTTTCAGTGAGTTCTATTATTAAAGCGGTCCATAAAATGACGCACTGATATAGGCTAATTTAAAAAAAAAAAGTCAAATTTAACTTTTAAAGAAATAACGTTGACTACGCCCACAAAACAAAATACATTACATACATTAAGGTGACATTTATATGTAATAATTAGATATATACACACTATATTTGTAGGCTATACGGCATTGCAGAAGGAAACTATGCTATTTATATCTTTAAAAACGAATGGATGGGCTACAGATATAATGTCTATATTTAGACATTACATATAAAAGGCATTAGGACATACACAGTTTCACCTAAAATATTGACTAAGATGTGAACCAATTTAAACTACAGTTCGCATATCACGTGTGGTAAAGGTGAAAACATTTTCTTCTGACCGACGCTGGTGCGCTTTTGCTGCGCTTCCATGTTCAGCGTGCGTAAAATTGCTTTAGCAAGGCTGAAAAATACGGGCACAAAGCCTTAAAAAATAGGAATCGACAATTATACATCTTATCTGTGCATTTTATGCACAATAGCTGCCTCGTGACGTGCAACTGGCTTGGGCGTAAAGACTGCGTAAAGGGTCTCTCCAAGTAGACTATTCCCTAGATTCTTTGTCCATTAAGAGGATAGTACATTTACATGAATGAATCTTTGAAATAGTTGATCCTTACGCTCTGTGGCCATAGTCATGATGGTCTCTGTGGTGGCATGTTCATCATCCTCTTCCATAGCTCCATCCTTACTGTCATCCCCCAGAACATCGTACTGATCCAGAAGTTCTTGCAAAGGCGGTGCTTTGGGTAACAGTTGCTTGACCACGTCCCGGCTGATGTTTGGAGCCTGTTTGAGTCGGAGTTTGCTAAGAATTTGGGACTTGATGGCATGCAGTCTCATCAGCTTGCTGTGTTGCCTGAACTCACATGTGGAGCACTGTTCGCTTTCCTCCGTGGCTGTGGAAGGCTGCTGGGGCGCCGTTATATCTCCATTACCCACTGGACCACATGCAATTAATACACTTAGAGAAATTAAAACCTGCGTAAAATGCATGTTCCAAGGCGTGCTAAAGGATGTTTGCTATGTGTGATCTGATTTGCTATGGAAATGAACCTCACCACGCACCGGACAAGTAGATGTCATGCTTAAATTCGGCAAGGCTTTTTATACTGCAACTTTGGCCACTCTATTGTGTCGTAAGATTCAATGATTGGCTGAGCTGGCAACAATAAACCTAATGGACAGAGCTGGACTTCTTTCGCAGTTCTTAAAGAGGTATGACACATCTTAGAGGACTCGTGGAGGAACCAGTCTAACTTGAATGCATATTATGCACATGCATATAAAAAAATACGCACTTTTATTACAATATTTCAGCGCGTGCATCCAGGATGCTCCCTGTGTGTCGTTAAACGCAACTGACCCAGAACGTAAAGGCTACATTTGATATTTATGAATATAAAATCATAAGCAACAGAATATTTGTTTTACTATTTTATTACATTGCAATATAAGGCACCTTGATGGTCTACTCTACTTGACATTTACACATGAGCAGCATGATTTTGGTAAAAAGGTGATTGGCAGCCTTAACATGTGGGCTCATCTGCTAATGTGAATAACTGCTAAAATGACAGTATGTTCATTTGTATAATATTCACGTTGCTTCTGTCAATGTAACGCAAAATAATTTCACCACGTATGTATTTCTTAATAGTAACATTGAATAATCACAATTCATCTTGTTTGCTGCAGCTTATTTCGTTTTTTAGATCTGTGGGTAAGATACATAGCGCCATCTTGTGGATCGTCTAGTGTAAAACGCGTTAATAACCAGGTCCTGACATGAAGTTTTGCACAGTGTGAGTTATTTGTAAAAGGATACATAATAAGGATAGGCAACACGCAAACATAGCCTAATAAACACACATATAAACAAATATTCTACAACTTCTAATTTACATCAATGTGTTGGCTCATGATTCATGACAAAATATGTAGGCCTAATTAAAAATTAGTTAGGCCTTACCTTGGAATAGGCCGTTAAGCTGTGAATTGATGTTGTCCAACCGATTTCACATGCATTGGCCTAGCCTACACAGTTTCTCCTTCTCACATAACAACATAATTTAAGCTAAAATCATCATTTCATGTGCATTTATTTATTAGGCAAGTAGCCGTATAATTAACGGGATAATGTGCAGTCATCCGGTCATTATCGCAAAATAAACTCTTTCAGGGTCATATACGACTTGGCGTCTGATCGCCCCGTCTCGAAACATTTTGCGATAATGAGCCGATCGATGACAGGGCATTATTATCCATTACGTATCACTTAATATCGCAATATATTTTCGGTTCAGTCTAATAATGTGAAAGTAAGATAATGACGGAGAGAATTAAAACGGAAACTGATCAGAAAACTTTCTAATATAAATGCTATGATAATGCATAACATAGGCCTAATGTAAATAATATAGCATATTATGCTCTTGCCAGGAAATTCTTTGTAAAAACTCACAAACTCAAAATTTACCATGCAGTCTGATAAAACATGAACTGAATGAATCAGGTAGGCAATGCCTATCATAGGCCTAGGCCTGACAAAACATATGCTGTATGACAACAAATACGTTTATCTTTCATAAATTTCTCATAAATCTTGACTACAACATCTCTAGGTTGGTCATATGGCATGAGCAAGTTTGGTAATCAACATTTGTCTATCTATAGGGAAAACGCTCATTTCACTAGGTGGCGACAATGTATTTAAAAAGACAACGAGGCGCAACCTGTGTCTTCGTGTGTTGCAGTAACCTATTTTACCCAGTTTACAAACAAATGTTTAGGCAAGGATAGCATGAACTAAGTGTGTACGTGAAACAGAAAGAATTTCCCAGCTGCAAATTCAGTAATGTAGATGGCCATGTATGAATGGACAGGGGGGAATAAAAAAAAAAAAAAAACACGGATTAATGCGCTGTCAAGCCCCATCGCTGTCCTGTCACTGGAATGAAACTGAAACGTTATCATCATGATTATATGTGGACTCCGGACGCACATGCTGAATTCTGACCCGACTTATCCTACCAGAGCAAGTTCTTCAACATGCTTTCTCATTCTCCTGTGGAGTAACCGAGACTGGTGAAGAGAAAGGAGCTTCAGCCTATTATTTATTAGTGTGGATTTATCGTAGGGTTCCTTTTAAATAACGCATTTCAATTTGGATTAAACGTTTTCTTCGGTTTTGTATCCATAATATGGACGCTCGCAGCCTGCAGTCCGAAGGGGTATGTATACCCACACTGATTATATATCTCTGGAATGTGCACTTTTAACATTAGATTACGGATCATCGTGCATTTAAAAAAACAACAACTGAAATATAATTTTGACTTGACCTTGAAGCTTTCTTGACACAAATACGACCATCCAATTTACTAGTAAAATCGACAAAACTGAAATTTTAATCTCGTTCACCCTTGGTACAACATTGTAACCAGGATAGCATCAATCATGATGTTTATTAAACTGTTGATCACTTCAGATTTGCAGACAGTGATTGTCGGTTGTCCTTGGCTGCATGATATGCATATGATGTCTATAGCCTATACAACGGGTTTGAGTGTCATTCGAGAATAACTGCCGTGAGTAATAACATTATTCAATACAATATTAGCAGACGCCCAAAAGAGCTACACTTAGAATCCACAATGTTTTTCACAGAATTCGATTTATATTTAAATGAGACATGATAGATGTTTGGTATGTGTGATAGCAGCAAATGGAGTGAACCACCGGCTTTCGTTGTAAGGAGAAGTCTGTTAGTCATTAGCTGCACTAGGCAGGCAGCGCAAGATAAATGCCAACTGCAATAGACGTCCGAGTCCTGAGCGAATCGTTCGTTTGAGTCGGATCAGTTGAATGATTAGGTTGATCCCGTTCACAAAATCGGTCTGAAAGGTGCGTTCGAAAATCGAACTTAATCGGTCCGAGAGGTTTTCAAGTCAACCGTTGTAAGATACTTTTAGAGTGAAGCAAATGAACCGGTGTCACTGATGTAGAGAAAAGCAGATTTAGTAGAAACGTTACAAATAAAACATACTATAAAACGTTATCCCTATCCATACACGATTGTTATGCGCATAAGAGTATATGTTTGTATAGCATTTATCTCCTTTAGGGAGGAGAGTGAGACAAATTAATTGTAGTAGTGTTTCATGTAAATACTAATTATTTAAGATTTTAAATTACTTAATGAGCTGGATCTGAACTGGGCTAAATACACTTATAAATAGAAAAACCGTAATGGATAGCATTTGTACAGCTACATTATGACTTAAGGCAGTGTAGGCGATTTGTTCCAGAAAGATTTTTTTGTTATGGTTGAAAGGCTCTTCACATCCTGACAGCAATCACTAAGTTAAGTGGCCTAATTGTGTGTATATATATATATATATATATATATATATAGGACCATAAAATGTTCTTCCAATCATTGCAATTAAGTCCGATTGGAATACACAGACATCACACGTCATCACCGCGTTTCATGCTATACCGCGCTATACCGATGTCAGTCACCGAGCACCGCACCCGAAACAGCTGCCACCTTTTACAGTTCTTCCTGGACCAAAACAATGAGCTTATGCTGCGTTCACACCATAACTGTAATTTGGAAGAGATGGAAACCCGTGACGATATATTGTTTACGTTCAATATTATTGTAATGTTATGTGCTTTGAGACAGGTAGCTTAATGCCATCTCTCGCCTCGTGACACTTTGCAAACTGCTGTGCGCGTTCATGTGTTTTGAAGGCGTGGTTTTGGAGACGCTCTGAAGGGAGGGTGGGATTTCATGTTTTCAAAGCTAACTTGCTATTGCTATCCACTCTGAAAATTGCCTGCCCTACCTTTTACCAAAATGCTATCAGAGCATGTGATATACCACGCCGCGATCCACTGGTCAACTTGATGACGTTATTACGTGTTCGCGTTAAGAAGCACTAAATCTTTTTAAATGAGTCGGACTTGCCATCAGTAATGAATAATATATCTAGCCAATTTACTACATGTTATTTATAAACCCTATGTGCACACGCAGTTTTATATTTTTACTTTATACTGCCTCTTTAGGAAATCCTCATTCCTGTGAAAATCAAGTCATTACAGTGTCTTGGACAAGGTTGCCAACTGACACTGTGAAAAATAGTCATCATGAAAATATATATTTAGCCAAGAAAACACACGCAATAACTCACTAAAAACATGCGTCTTCTTCACACAGGGCAAGTGTGAGAATGCTATACATCATGGCTGACCATCTGGACTACACTTTGTACAGAAATACCTCTACATCCTAGCTTCTTACCATATAAAACCCTATAAACTGCCAACCAAGGGAATATAACCTCTGTATCACGCCATTTTTGCATCTCTTCGCCTCACTGCTTTCAAACCAATGCTACATTATTTATATCATGGGATGCATGAAATCCAAGCACCGCGACCCTACTCAGAATTCCGGCTCAACGGAGAAAGTGGATGGCAAGTCAGGAAAGCAAGGAGAGAAAGCCGTTCTAGTTTTCTCAGAGATCGGCTCCATGGAGGACCCAGTGCTGGTCAATCCGGTGTTGGTGGACTATGCCCAGAGACTCTCAGAGGAAATTGTGGCCCGGGCAGTACAACAATGGGCGGAGGTGGACAGCCGGTACAGTGACATCCCCTACATTGAGTGTGATGTGCCATAAGTTTTTAACTGTGTGGAATAAGAATGGATTGGTCTAGCTCACACCTCTCCTGTATGTAAAGGAGAGCTTTCAGACCGACAAATGAAGGCCAGTGGATAATCATGTCATTTCGGAAAGATGTTCTTTGGCTCTCTGAAAATCTCTTTAGGATTCACATGAAATATTCAGCCATATTTTTTGTTTTCTTAACAACTGACCATGGAGCTGTTATAATACAAGACATTATCTTTTTATGTCTTTTGTTTTGTTTACCGTCAAATTTAATGGGAGAGTCCCTGAAATTGTCCAAAGGCCACAGTCATCACAACCATTGTTAATTATAGACTTCATCTTTTTGCCTTTAGCATTTCATGTTTGTGTTTCAGCACATCAGACAGTACCTAATTTCATCCATCCATCCATCCATCCGTCTTAAGGTGTGGTCACATTGGCTTTCTGCAAAATTTCACAGAGAAAAAAGGTTAATTGTCTGTTGCCTCTTCAAACCAAGTCACTTTCAAACCAAGCAGCTTTCCGTTGATCAACGTAGTGAATTTGAATGACCCAACTTGTACCGGTTGCGAAATCTGCATGGGGATTGGGGAAATCTATCACCCTCAGGTGAAATCCTCAATCCCCTATTTAAATGGCTGGATTTTCCCCATGGATTTCGCTGAACAACAGTAAATGTTACCGCACATTTAAACAGAGCACATGCTCAGTGGTCACAGTTTCTTTTTAAGGGGCCAGTGCTGGCTTCTAGGGATCAATAAGTGTACATTACTTCACCGGTATCCTTTTTTAGACATGACAGCTGTGTCAACCGCAATTCCTGGTACAAAATCAAAGACCTTGTGGTTACTATGACCAGACATTGTTTATCAATGACACACTCATAGATTTAGAGATGTTTAAAGATGTTAATCATCCTGTATCCTCATGATGATGGCATGAGCGAATACATTCAAAGGGAAGGATTATATACATCCATCCCAAATATAGTGTTTTAAGCCGTTATATAATTTTGTTAATAGATGTTTTCTTCTGTGCAGCTCAAATATGCAATTCTTAAAGGCTAAGAAGTTTTAAAAAGAAACTGAAAATTACATATTGCTACCAAGACTGCCGAATCACTAAAAATTCAGACTGGGGACCAAACACGCCAATGTCCTTAATGATCGTTAATACAAGCACAATTACTCTTCTGGTAGTGTTTAACAGCTGCTCACCAATGCTTTTTATTGATGGATTTATTGGCACTTCTGGGTCTTGTGCCATGCTGTCAGGTAGCCAGAATCCCTTTAATGAAGATGAATGAATGAACATTTAATGATTCCAGATCAATAGTGTGCAACAGTTGGGTTCCGGAAGCAAAAATCACATTCGTTATCTCCATAGAGATTGATTTTTAAATGATAATGTATAAACCTTTTAAGACCTAGCAACCATGCGCTCTGAGGTGGTGATGTTTGCTTCTTGAAGTGCTTCTTCACAAGTCAGTGTGATTTCAAATAGTACATAAAAAAGAAAACCTTAAATTCAGAGGGAATTATCTACTTATAATCATAAAGAGTTACCATGAAAACCTATTCTGAAGTGAACTCGCCAGTAACCACCCTCTCCTAAATAGCATTGTGCATTGTCCTGTAATCAAATAAATCTCCCAAACTACTTCTGGCTGGTTTGGCTCATGGCTTTAAACCCTTTACTGAGGAAATTTTTCAAATCCCTATAGAGAAAATCAATGAGAAAATTACTTCCGGAACCAAGGCCACTGAAGAAGTGGGTAGTTACTGTTACAGCCTGTTTCAAAGACAATTAAGCAAGGACTGCACTTTGACCATTAAACTTTTGCATAGAGAGTCATAAATGCAGAGTGAAATCTTAAGATATGAAAGAAGGACTTAAAGTTGTATTTTACGAGGCCTTTCAGCACATTACTGAATGTGCTCAAGAGTAGAATTTCAGTTTCTCAAAGAACAATTAGCACAGGATTCATGGTGTTCACTACTCTCCTTATCTTCCTTACTTATACTAGGCTAAATAGAACTAGGTTATATTTGGTTTATTATGAAGTACCAAAAGTGTGCGATCATGTATCACAGGAAAAAGTGATTCAAATAAATAAATACACAGCAATCAGACTACATTTGTACCAGCCTGTACTGTCAAGCTGATTTCTCTTTAGATTTCCATCTCATAAATGTTTGACAAGATGCTGATGATTCTGACCAAAATAGTTGTCTTTTATATTTCAGTGTATATTTCAGCAAAAGTGTTTTACCTGTAATCTGTGTAATCTCAGTTCTGTAACCTAAAGAAAAGGGGGAAAAAACACTGCTACGCCAATAAATAAAACCACAGCCTTTCTCGATACCTCAGCTGTTACCTTCTTTCAGTTTCTTCTGTTTCGTATTTATAATATAACATTGTAACAAGACAGAGTAACTTTAAAACATGCCCTTTATCACATGGTCCTTCGGTCCCTCCTTCAGTGCAAGTCTATGGGAATTTAGTTGTTGTTTTAGCATCCACCAGGGGAAAATCTTAAGCCTGATTGCTTTGAAAAGTAATAGCAAACGTCTCCGCAAAATGTCATACAATTTGAGGTAACATTCATGTCCGTATTCCCAAACGGCGTGCCTAACTTTACTACGACCTCTATAGTCTGTCAGTCAATTTGCTAATTAGCTCAATGAATGCAGAAAACCAGATTTATTTTACACTGTTGGTTTTATTGAGAGGTATTGTGGGCACACAGTACGGACATATCTGCTATCAAAATCAAAAACAATCTTTTTATGTTTTGTTTTTGCACAAATATAGGTCATGACACACACCTTTTATGAACATCCACACAGATATATGAGCAAAGCAGAGAAGAACCAAATCATTTGAATTCAAGGCATCACAGTTGTTTTGACATCTGTCAGATTTATCCTGTCAGGCTTGATACGTCTATAGTGTAGGCCAGTGGAAGTGCTTGTGTAGTAAACACTGTGGTTAATAGCAGTCATACTGCAGGCACCACATGACAGTACTTTAATCCTGCAAAAACTGAATCGTGGCCAGGGTATGCGTTAAGGTTGTCAAGGTTAATCATGGATTGCAGAATGTGCAAAAATAATCATCTGCCATTCTCTTTCCACGGGGTTTACACAAATGATTACACAGTATGAAGGAAAAAGACACCCCCTAAGAATGAAGTAGCCTATGCAAAATATGATTCCCAGCACCTCACACTGACAAGTCTGCTGTTAATTCATATTGTCACACAGTTCACCCAAAAATGGTAATTCTCTGATTATTTACTCGCCTGGTACTGTATTCTGGTATTTTTTCTGTGGAACACAAAATTAGAATATTTGTAGAACCTTATTCTAGTGCAGTTTATGTAAAAACATTCTTCAAAATTCTAAGATCAAAAAGTAAAAGCATACATGTCTGAAATGGGGTTGCGTAAATGAAGACACAATTTTAATTTTTGGGTGAACTTTTCCTTTATAAAATGTGACTAGGCTGCTCTCAATTGTTAGCTTATTTTAAATGATATTTCCCAGTGGAGAAAAGAAACCTCCCCAAATTTCCTCAAGGAACCAACATTGTTCATTTCAACACAAGGATCAGCGGATCTGTGCAGAAGTCTCAGAGGAATTTGCATTCGTCAGCTAAGCTGACAGAAATAACAATACTGATTTCTTTGATAAATTTCTGAAGTTTATGAAAGCAACTTGCAGGATTTTTGAGGGGAGTTTCTATAGTTTGAGGTCTCTTTCAGCCAGGGAGCTGAAGCATTCTTCTACAGCCTGCTCTGAGACCCCAGACAGGGTAGAAGGTCTCCACTTCGGACTCTGGTCTTTATCGATTAGAACTGCGAGTAGAGAGGGGGGAAAGGGGGGGGGAGAGGGGGGAAAGGGGGGGGGATCTGTTAGTTATGCACTGACCTTTCTCTGGGGTTGTTCAGGGGAAAAAAAATAGTCAGGTGAGTGGAGGTGGCCAAGAATGTCATACAAGTAAGAGCACATAAAGCACTTTAATTTTAGGTAACACACTATAATACCCTGTATTATAACCATTAACAGACATTATAAGATTATATAATGCTCTATTTTTTCATAAGCATTCATTCATTCAGAATTTTTAGGGATATCTTTCAAATATCAATTCAGTTCCTGAATTTAGATTTAATTGAGGTGGCAAACAGGATGTGGAATTGTAATTTGAATTTAAATTGTTAAAATGTAATGAAAAAAACTACAACAAAAAAAAAAACATCTCATGTGTATAACACAGATATGAATTACCCATAACCATAATATTATGGACACATGGGGTATTTCCAGAAAGGAATTAGATCAATGATTGAAATGCCATTTATAGAGACGTGTATTTAACATATATGTGTACAGTATGCTACATTTAGTAAATTACAAAACTTTAATATTATGGAGTGTTAAATCTGGTCCAACCCTTTAACAGCAACTCCTGATTCGGTACACCTTATATACTGTTATCGATAGGAACAAATTTACTAATATGTGAATTTCTGAAGAAATGTGCATCTTACCTGCTCTGACTCCCTCATAAAAATCATGGCCTCTCTGCAAAGCAAGAATAAAACCTCATGACATGAATAACACAAATACTTCCTCTAAACTAATAAGTGGCATACTGTGAAAAAAAACAGCTTTAGCTGATTTGATTTAGGTAACGAAATAATAAAGCATTGCATTTACATAAAATTGCATTACATACCATACAGGCCTGACTGAGTCTGTACTCCATCACCAGCACCTCCTGCAAACTCATTCTTGATCCTTCCTGAATCTGCCTGAAAGTTAACTTCAGAGAGGTTGGGGACATTTTGGCCAGAATCTGTAAAATTCAATACAAAAATCCATATTTCATTAATGAAAAATAAATAAATGACAATTAAAATAGCTGACATAGCTATCTAAATGCAAGTTAATCTGAAGCGGACAATGAAATAAAAAATAAAAAAAATAGTGAGAGCCGGGAAGACAGTCCGAGCCCCAGCTGATCCAGGAGTCCGTTCTGCGTGGAGTTTGCATGTTCTCCCTGTTTCAGCATTGGTTTTCTCTGGGTTCTCCGGTTTCCCCCACACACTCCAAAGACATGCAGGTTAGGTGGATTAGATATGCCAAATTGGCCGTACATTTTCAACAATGAAACGTCACAAACATCAATTTCCTTTCTACAGCTCACACTAAAAGTGATGCATGGCAAAGTAGCGCTATGGGAGGAAAAACAGAATGGCTTTGAAATACTAATGAGGTATAATATGATTCAGGGCCCATTACGCAATACGAGAGAGGGTTTGCATGACGCAGAGAGCAGAGAACCCATACGCGCTCATTTTCTTTATCTCGCCAAATATCCCGGAAACCATCATACTCTTTATCCAGCTGCAGGCGCAGGATGTGGAAACATCAAGCTAAAACCTGCCACAGCCTTCCTTATTGCAGTGTAATTTTATGAAGTTCATAAAAACATCCCTTGCACTTGCGACTTAGAATGAATAAACGGCTCGCCTTCATACAGGGACGAAATACAAATTTCATTCATACTACACTATATAGTTTTATACTATACTATATAGAACGTACTTTTTTAACGGTTGTGCAGCAAGTTTCAAACCAAATGTAGTACTTACTATATACAGTATGTGATTATTTCGGATGATACTTTTTCATAAACAATGCAAAATTATATTTTAAATACTAGCTATTTGATATTGATTTGTATATACAGTGTATATACACACCCGTTTACAGGTAAGATTTTTTATGTTTTTGAAAGAACTCTCTTATATTCATCCAGGCTGCATTTATTTGATCATAAATATAGTAAAAACAGTAATATTGTGAAATATCATTACAATTGACTGTTTTCTATTTTAAAATGTAATTTATTCTGAATAAGCTGAATTATCAGCAGCCATCACTCCAGTCTTCAGTGTCACATGATCCTCCAGTGTTCAAGTAACATTTATTATTATCAGTGTTGAAAAAAAAGTGTTGTGCTGCTTAATATTTTCATGAAATATCTACTTATCAATCCACCATACATAAGAAAATTCAAAATAACAGCATTTATATGAAATAGGAATCGCTTTTGTTCAATGTAATGCATCATTGTTGAATATATATTAAACATTTCAGCTCAATAAAACAGATGTTAATATTAAATTTATGACACTTTAAAAAAAACTTTTTGTGAAAAAATAAAAAAAACTTTGAGTTTAGTATGAGTCTGCCCTGCATGTTAACTTACTCTACTAATTAATGGTATAATTTATCTATATATATGAATTTACATTTCATGTCATTTCAAACCTGAATAACCTTTTTTTTTTTTTTTTTTTTTAAACATAAGTAGAACATCCTGGTCATTCTTTTAAATATAATGAAAGTTAATGAGGACTGGGGCTGTAAAAATTTGAAGTAACAAAAAAATATCATAAAAGTATGCCCTATATTCCATAGATTTCTGAAGTCATAAGTTTTGCGTGAGGACAAGCCCGGAATATAAATTGTTAATCACAACATTTGTGTTGCATGGAGGAAAGAAAGTCTTAAGGGTTTGGAAATGACATTGGGGTGACTAAATGATTTTTACTTTCGGTTTATTTTTTTTTAATAATGCGTTTAGTCACCATCCCTGAATTCACCTCTGTCTGTTTGAGTGCAAAAGCAGAGCCATCTTTCTTAAGGTTCTCCATGATGTCCTCCACACTTCCCGCTGAAAAGAGCCTGAAACAATAGAACAATAACGAAATATACAGGGTCAGTCCTGCAAACACCATCCATGGAAGTTTTTTGTGTATATTTTTCAAACAAGCAAGCCAAATTAGCCATCAGATTTGACCCTGGGACAGCAGATTACTGCAACACCAACTGACGTTACATAAGGCTCATATGCAATGCAGAGTCAAACTCCACAAAAACAGGTAAACAAGGGGTGTATAGGCTGATGAATAATTTGTTTAACTAAACACTAAAGCCCCAGAAGGAGAGACGCAAAGACAATGCTGCACACACTCCGGTCACGGTGGAAACTAAGTTTTGGAGCGTGTCCAGTGTTTATCAGTCTTATTTCAGTCCTTTGATCAATATACCCAACTTTTTCCCAGCACATAGAATTATGGGCCTTTTAGAGAGGCAAACATTGCCTGGAAGCCTCAAAGTTTTAGTAGCACCTGAAGGCTAAAGCTTATCTAGGGAAACAGACACAAACCCACATGTATAACTAATTGGTTCCAAAAATGTGAAGTCAACTGATGTCAAGCCAGCACGGTTTCTGCAGCCACAGTCACGGTATGCAAAATAGTGTGATGCATAATTATTGCGTCATTCATACTTAAATATTACAGGTTAAATTTAATACTTTAGGTCTGGGAGATATAGCTAAAAATACACACTACTATTCAAAAGTTCATAAAGGTCAGTAAAAATGTTTTCAATCAATCAAAAGTTACAGCACAGAGACATTTATGATGTTATAAAAAAATTATATTTCAAATAATTGCTGTTCTTTTGAACTGTCATTGTTACATTATATAATAATAAGAAATGTTTCTGAAGCAGCAAATCAGCATATTAGAATGGTTTCTGAAGGATCATGTGACTAAAGACTGGAGTAATGATGCTGAAAATTCAGCTTTGCCATCACAGAAATAAATTACATATTTAAATACATTTTATTTAAATACAAATATAAATAAATATTTACATTTATTTAAATATTTATATAAATATATTAAATATATTTAAAATATCTTAAAAAAAGCAAACAATTGTTTTAAATTGTATTAGTATTTCATAATATTAGTTTTTATTGTAAATTCTGAATAAATACATTCACATTTGAACAGAGCTAAAGTTGTGTTCAACCCAGAATTTTCTTATAATAAAAGATAATTAAAAAAAAAAATATTCATACAATACTTACAAACTACTTTTAATAACTTCTGAAAAATAAATGAATGTGAAAATGTGTGTTTGACCATGCTGGCATGATGCTAAAGTATTGTAGGTGGTTGCTAGGGTGTTGCTAGGTACTGTAATTGTTTACAGGCCCGAGTCAAAAGAATCCCCCCCCCTAGTCCCCAATTTTAATAGTCAATTGACTTTAGCAAGCGTCACTAATGACCATACATGGCCAATTCAAAACAATATCAGGCTAAAAATTATAATACCTAATACCTCTGTCGTTTATTTAAAAAAAGAAAGATAGATAATTAGTTTTCCATTCAGAGGGGGATCTTTAGTTTAATTCTATTCGGGGTTAAAGCAAATGGTTTATTTTAGGTTTACCTGTCGATGGCCTTGGTCTGTTCTTGCAGCACAAAAGGTTTCTCAGCATCCAGACGGCTCTGAGGAGACATAACAGCAGCCTGTGTTTAGACAGCAGCTGAAACACATATACAGTGCTGTATTTCAACCTAGACAACTGCAATCCTCAACTGTCTGTGTGTATGTTTGATGACATTTTTGTCCTGTCAGAAACCTTAGCTGTGACTGAAAGCTGAAAAATGCTCATCAGGCAGTTTACAAAGATATGAAGGCATCAAGGCAAGTCTGAATTCAATGTTTGTGTCATATCCAGACTACTAAAATGCCTTCATCTGATCAGTTTTTGCTGATTTAGATGCAACATAGATGTTTATAATCAGGGGTGCACATAACTGGTAATCAAAAAACGTGTAGGGAAGCGTTTTTGAGGACAGGGACACGTTTACTTCCTGGAGTAGGATTTTTATCTCCATCTTTGGTAAGATAGAAATCATGATGATAAGTGTTCATTAATTATTAGGGGTGCACCGGCTGGCAATTGATCCGTGATCCGTACGGACCAAGCCCCACAGTTCGGCCATCATAGAGTTTATAATTTGGACGTCTATGGTCTTGCCAATTTACACATTTAAACAATTTTAAATGTGGAAGAAGAGGCAAAAATCGGGACTTGCGCGCTGTTATCTGTGCGCACAGCCTCACACACCCGAAGCAGAGGGCCACGATTCAGACAGCGATTGAACACCAAATTGATTCAACTTTCGCGTTTACTTGCGCTTGAACGGACACAAAACCTGTCTCTGCAAGTATTCTCTCTCGGTTATGTGAACAGTTGAGAAAGAAACCGGATGTGTCCAGGGTGGAATTAACAACCGCCAACCCGCCAAATGCGGGCAAAAATCAACTGTGGCGGGTAACGCTGTCAAGTCACTAGCCAATTTGGCGTGTTATTATATTTACTCACTTTGCTGGGGAAGTTCGTGTAAGCCAAATCTGCGCAGATTTAGCGCAAATGGCGTATTGCGCAAATCCGCGCATATCTGGCTTACTTGAACATGCAAGTGCACGCAACAAATAACGGCGCGCTTGTTCATTTGCATTGAAGCAATAGCGAAGATTAAAAAGCATTTGGTTAACAGAAAAGACATTGTTATTTTCCAACATTACATGTTCTTTGTACCGTATAGATAACACATTTTTGGTGAAAAGGATGAGGATAAAAGATGCCTGCATGACAGGATTTTGTGTGAAGAAATTATATATATATATATATATATATATATAAGCAGTGGGCTTTTTTTCTTTTGGCTAGTAGAAGTTCTGAATGGCCGGTAACTTAAAAAATCAGTAGCCAAATTGGCTGGTGGGCAAAAAAGTTAATTTCAAACCCTGTATGTGTCAGTATATTCGGTCCATGCATTTTGGTCTTAAAGTGACAGCAGCCTAATATTCTTGCTGCTGTCTGTCATTAATGTTAATTTAAAAAAAACAATAAAAAAAACATCATCATCATCTACCATATTCGAGAAAAGTGATGAGAGCAGTCAGGTGGAAAGTGATGACAGCTTGTAGGATAAGTGTGCCGTGTAAAGTGTGAGTACGAAGCAGCATCTCCAGGTGCTTCCTTGAGAACCAGACCAAAAAAAGTTATGTGCACCCCTGCTTAAAATATCCATAGAAATGGTAATTTAAAGAATATGTAGCCTCTAGCATCAGTTGCTAGTGCATCCCTTGAGGCCAGGGGAGTGAGGTTATATAACTGTGCCAATCTATCTGGCACTGCTCAGAGTGGGATTCGCACCAGCATGGGAGGCAGGCACACTAACAAGGATGCTAAAGACCGCAGCCTCAGGCATCAGTTGCTAGTGCACCTCTTGAGGCCAGGGGAGTGAGGTTTACAGAGAGCTGTGCTTGCTGGCATCCATTACACACACACACCCCTAAACCTCACTCCCATCTAGGGCTGGGAATCGCTGGGTACTTCACGATACGATACGATATGCGATACATTGTTCACGATACCGATAATATCACGATATGGCGATACTGGGCGATACTGCGATAATCGACATATTATCTGTAATAACTCACAATATATCATGTTTTAAGAAATACAAAATTTTTTTAATTAGGAAAATTAATCTCCATTTATTTTTTGGGATGAAACACAATAACAAAAACAACTTGTGTCTTATCAGTTGCAACAAAACAGTCACAGACACTATTTTAGTGTAACATTGCTGCAATCAGTAGTAATAAAAATGTTTACGCCGGGGTGTGTCGGCTTCGAGCCAGCACCAACCACGGCTTTCTCACAGAGCTCCGGGTGATGCCGCGTGAGGTGTCTGTACATGTGGTCGTGTTTCCCGTTTTGCGGACTTTTGCAAAGCCAGACATCCCAAGTCTCACGTAACTTCAGGGAGTCTCCCGCATAATGATAGCGTCTCCCTGATGCCCGCAAATTAGTTCAAATCTCCCGGAATCTAGAGCGCGCATGCGAGACAGAACAGCCTACTGCGCGCATAACATACATAGCACGGCAGAGAGGGAGAGAGCGAGAGACTTTGCGTGTGTGCCTCATGAAAGCTAGTCAAATCCAGTCAACTCGGATAATGAATAGAGCGTTTTATAACGGCTTTTAAGATCGATACTTGGCAAGAGCGCATCGAGAATCGATCGCGGGAGTAAATATCGTGATATATCGCCATATCGATATTTTGGCGCACCCCTACTCCCATCTGGGTCACGGCACCAATGTAACTAGGCCTACTCGCACTGCTCAGAGCGGGATTGTATGTACAGTATATATATATATATATATATATATAACACACTACAAACTAACACAAAGTTTACTGAGTGTTTCAGATCCAGCCCATTTATCATTTTATCTTTGTGTAGGCCGTGCACGGATGGTCGAACTAATTCACTCTCCTCCTAGTGCTTAAAAGCTGTGACATGAATCCCAGTGACATTTCATTTTACGCCTGCTCTAGGGATACACAGACATTGACATCTCTATTTCAATACATTCTTACAGAATCCATGACATGGAATCACAATCCACCATTAATACAATCTGAATACAGAATGGAAGTGTCTATATTCTTCTCTTATCTGCTCAGGTCTGGATACACCCTAACTAATCTTTAGTATCAAACAATCGACAGGCTTTAAAGTGCAACCTTGATGAACAAAGTTGATATAAGTGTATGGTTTTATGGTTTAGTGACAGCTGCTGTAGATAAAACTCTCTTTGAAGCAGGAGCATTGCCAGATAACATCCAGGGTATGGCCCATTAATGCCATACCATAATGCAAAGACTAACTGTAAATAATTCACAACGTCTAGATTTTTAATTAGGCTACTATCAAGATTTGTTGATGACAGAAAAGAATAAAGTAAAAGAAATGATCAAAAGGGGTCTGGGAAGGGTCTGTGAAAGCTAATATGTTTGTCCGGAGCATAAAAGTTGTGTGTCATCAGTCCCTCCCTCCCGAGGATCTCTGGAAAGCTTTGTGATGTAAAGACTGTATGAGTCATAATAATTATCATTTAGACACTCCTGTTCGGCACACACAACTTCACAGCATTAACCACAGATGGCCATAAATCCATACCACCAAGCCATTACGAGTGTAATGAGTATAGTAAAACAGCAGAGAACTGAGCTTTTGGAGAGGCTCAGGAATACTCTCACATAGGCCTGTCACGATCATGAATTTTGTTCTGACGATTATCATACACATAATTGTGATTTAATATTTTTTTTACAGGGAATTGTATATAGCCAATATAATAATAACAATTATAATAAAACAGCCCCAGATGATAAACTTAAATGCTGTGAAATTAATAATATGTATATAATGAATCATATGCCAATATAAATAAAAACATAACATAACATGATATAATTACTGCAGTCAAATCGATTAATCGCAATAATTGCATGTAACATAAGTGTGTTTACATAATATATGTGTATATATTTATATATATTATGTCTCTGTGTATATACTGTATATGCACATATTATATATATATAAATATATATAAATATGTGCGTATACAGTATATATACAGACACACACACTCATATATACTGTATATATATATATATATATATATATATATATATATATATATATATATATACACATACACATTTTAATAGTATAATATAATGTATAATATAATAAAATCCACAAACCTTAATTTTGTATGAAGGAAGACCTTTGGTTTTTTTTTGTATTCTTTATTCTTTACTCCCAGCCAATTATCATAACTCTACTTCTTCCTACCACACATCACGCATTTTGATGGCACTTCTTTAAGCGCCTAAATTTCCCTTATTTGGATGGAAAAATGCGATTAAAATTTAAACTGCACAATTATTACGGTAATCAATCAGTGATTAGATCGAATAACCACGATCAGACGATTAATCAATAATTGCAACAGGCCCAGGCCTAGAAAACAAATTGTATATATTATATTGTTTTATATTATATTAATTATATTATATTACATTATATTATAGTTGTATATTGTAACATATAAGTTGTATTATTGTAATAATAATTAATATAATTGCATGACTTTCTTCTGTGGAACATAAAAGATGATGTTTTGAAAAAACGACTCGCTGTTTTTTTTTTTTAATTGTACACACTGTGCAAGTCAGTGGAGTTCAATGTTGTTTAAAACATTCAACATTTTTAAAAATAACTTCTTTCGAGTTTCACTCGAGGTCGAAAGTGATACCGGTTTGGAACTACACAGGGCTGTTCATTTTTTGGTAATAATCTTCCACACTTGTGTCGCCACATGGCATTTAATTTGAACCATATAAAGATGCACTGAAAGCAGATCCATGAGTGTTGTATACTGTGGCTATGGTAACAGATTATACAAGCCCACCACTGTGTAGAGTAACTGCAAGCACCGAGGCTATAAAAGTCTGCACAGACAGTTTTATAAAGTCACATCTGTCTCTGCCACATACCTGTTCTTGATAAGTATCTAGAAGTTGAGCCACGTCGCTGACCGATGGAGACTTCAAGTCAACAAGATCTTTCTCAAGAGATGAAATCTGATAAGAGAGAGAGAGAGAAAAAAAAGGAAAATTCTCAACCTTACAGGTAGAAAAAAAAGTGGGTCTAAATCAGATACTGAGGAGCAGAGAAGGGAATGTTTTGTTTACAACAGGATTTATTTTTACAAGGTGTTTCCTGATGGAAACTGAAGGGGCACAGTGAAACAACATAAAACAACAGCTCTGATCCAAAACATAGTTTGCTGCCTGCAGGACAGCACAAGTGAGCTCTCAACATGAGGATACCACCTTCTGGCCAAATTCGAAATCAACTTTTTTGTGAACGCCCGTTCACGAGGATTTCTAATGGAATGATTTTGTTCACAGAATTTTGCTGAGCAAAGTGAAAAATCCCTTTCAATATGGCGAAAAAGTCGAGAGAAATGCTGACCTGTATTTCATTCAACGGAGAGTATCAATTAAAAAAGTGAATTGTGTTGTATTGGTTTATGAACCACTTAACCAATAGACTAAATTCTGTCTAATTAAAAATGGACTATAACTCAATATTTGTGCCCCATATGTATTTGTATGCTTATTAGAGCATCATTTGTTAGCTTATCCACATACCAACACTAATCTCTACTGGAATCAATTGTGAATGGAGTCTCTAGTGCACTTCAGGAGCGCTATTTTTGTCATGAGTTGTTTCAAATAGATCATTTATGAGGTTCATTGGAACAGAGCTAATCTGTAACTAACTGGCGTAGTGTCCCAATGACGTACTATACACTATGACCATGTAGTGTATGAAGTTTAAAGGTTTTTTTTTGTCATCCTCCATCAGAGTCAGATAACCCTTCCTTTCCACTTAGCAAGGCAATCTGTGACAATTTAGATCATGAAGTGTCCAGCATTCCACACTTTTCTTTTGGTTAAATAAGTGCATCATCCAGGAATTTAAAGTGCACTTTTTCTTTTTGGATAACTATGCAAATTGGGACGCATCTTGCGAGAAACGCACACACAGAGAGCAAGAGAGAGACATCTCAGAGTGATACTATTGTCTGATATGGTATCGTATCAATAAGTATCAATGGATATTTTTTCTTTTGAACACCTTTTCAGTGTTTTAAAAAAAAAAATATTGTGTAAAATACAAGTTCATAGCATTTTTGCAGTCATGACTTGTATAATGCATATATCAACCTCATACATTGCACCAGCCATTAGAAGCCATTTTTATTAAATAAATAATCTTACAGAGATTATTCTCAGAAAGAGCAGTTTCTAGCTGATTTTAGAGGACTAGACAATATTCACTATAGAAATTCCATGTTTTTCCATGATTTCTTAATGTTTTAAATTTCCATAAGCTTTCTAGGTCTGAAAAAAAAAAAGTTTTTAAATTCCCTAACTCTGTACTGCTCATGGTTGAATAATAATATAGCCGGACTCAATGTATTATTATTATATTTTTTTATGCAGTATGCATTTGCTCATAAATGAAAGTGAATCAGCTCAACACTAGTTCTGCTGTACAAACAAACGCACTGTCCTCATGAGCCCTTTTGTGGTTATTTTTATCACAAGTCACTTCTGTGAGTAGCGTGTATGTCAGATCCTGCTGGTCATCTGTCCTTGGCCAGAGGATGTGAGTGTGTGTGTAGGCTTGTATGCCCCTCTCTCTCTAGCAGTGCCAAGCCCTGGTACTCATTTTCACCTCTGGCACATGAACTGGGCGTAGTGTCAGTGCTCAGTCGCCCCCTGCTGCTGAAAGTTCGCTGGCAAGCCTGAGAAATGCTGACTAACTCCTCTCCTTTCAGTACCTTCAAATGCAAGAACTGCAGCCCAAAAGCTCAGGAGGCCGGCACCAGCACAGCTGGTTCACCGTTACCTTGAATTTGAGTTACATCCTCTCAAAACTGTCCTTCAAATTACAATAGTTTCTTCTTCTTACTACTGTGTCCAAACCAGGAGCTGGATGTGAAAATGCTGCATGGTTTTGTCAATGACTGCGTTTACAGTACATGTGCACCAATAATGTGATTATTTCCAATAATCAGATTAAGGATTCAATCGCTGTCTTTAAAATCGCAATCGCGCATGTACACACACACATACACACACACACACACACGTAAAATATTTTATATAGTTTTATATTAATAAATAACCTATAATTTAACAAATTATAATATATATGCTAATATATAAACGGCATGTTTTATACTATATAATAAATATATAATAAAATATAATTCAAATGTTTTATACTATATAATAAATACATTTATATACTAAATTATAAACTACACGTTTATATATATTATTCATATTATATATATAAAAATATATAAAATAATATTTTACATTAATGAAAGCAAATCAGACATGCACAGCATTGCTGAAATGAACAGTAATATTTTACATTACAATATTTACTCAATTCACAAAAAACTTTGACAACAGAAAAATTTGCTATATCTTTTCACAAGGTCATCAGTAGACTTTGACAAATTGACACATGATATATTTATGCCAAATATTGTCAAATGAAGTAGCCAATATGTATCAGTCAATTACTAGAGTATAGAGGGAATGCATTAACGTCACTTCCCCGCCGGAACACGCCCCCCTCAGCGGGACTGAGTGGCAGAAGAGCTGCTGCGTGACTGGAGTTAATAGGGGAAACTGCGTTAACGCGAGTAAAACAAACTATTATCAGTTTAAACTAAAAGTTGGACTCGATATAGTGTTCCTTACAACTTATCAAAGATCCAGTGATCCATGGATATTGACATGCAGCCAGGAATCGTGTTTCCTGACATTTATATGTGCCTGATTTCGACGCCAGGGAAATAAATGAAGACAATTTGCCTGTAATTGTTTTATATAAATACAATATAGATAGGTCTAAATCCGAGTGATCACTTACATTAATGTTATACTGTATATCATCATATCGTCCAGCCCTAAAACTTGTATAGTTTTTTGTCAGTGTTTATTTAAAAACATCCAATTATGCAGAATATAGTCTGTTCTGTAGCTTTTTGCAGTCTGTAAAAATATACAGTACCTCAGATTTCTGGTCAAATCTAGTTGTACAGTCAATCGCAAAGCTCTTTCCCGTTTTAGATGTGTTTTGTGTGATTTTCACGGCGTTCACGCTGAAAACAAATGCTGCCGCTCAGTCTTTTTGCCACTTGTGGGCGTGACCGCATTCACTCCGGCCGACGGTGACGTCATGCGCATACCCTCTATATACATTACCTTCTCGGACTGCACAAAGTGAGTAGCAACCCCGACTCTTTGAACATCTCTTCCTTTGAGGCGAAACCCTGTCAGGGCGAGAAAAAGGCCCAGCTTGCCTCGAAGTCTAGGCAGGAAGTAGCCACCACCAACATCAGGGAACAGACCTATAGAAACAAAACATTTAGAGCATGAGCTAAAGTAAAAATCTGCTACACAAGACTTTACATAAGAAAAAAGATCAATTTCAGGCCACAGGAATAAGGGAAATTTGTGTAAGGGAATTATTACAATTGCTCAAGAGATTTCATAAGTAATATCAGAACTGTAAATACTTGAATAAACAAAGAGTCACTAAGAGTCACATTAAACAGGGGATGTAGTACACATTTTAGATGCCAATGACCCAACAAATATGATAATGCCAAGGGACAATACAAGGGACAATCCATGTACAAAAGACCCATTTATAGTGTGTAAGAAAAATAGTAAAGTATAAAGACAACATTAAATAATAGGATTTTATATTGTCATTACACTAAAGCCAAAAGATGTGATTAAAAAAATACCTGGAAAATATTTAATACTAAATTAAGAATTAAATTGACAGCCTATCTTTATCTACCCTTTATTAGAGTTATGTTAGACGTATAAACCCGAAGAGAAACCCTAGCATATAAATAGTTGCTAATTATGCCATGACCATCCAGTGTTCAGTCTGCAGGATGTGATTATAAAATGGCATAGTGCTGCGCTACAATCTTATTAACCTGATGTGCTTTTTTAAATAGCAAAGGCTGAGAAAATGACATCACTTCCCTCATAAACACTCAGCATGAGGTAGAATTCTGAATAAGGCGCGACAGGATTAAGTCCCCTGACCTGATTCCAGGAGGCAAATGTAATATCATAAATGCAGATTACGTTTGCCGTGCACCCAGTCGCTTTGTCTTATGGCTGGCATAGTTTTAAGACCCAAATAGCCCCTTAATCCATAAGCGGAAGGGGGTGAAGAGGAGGGGTTCAGGTTGCAGGGTTGGCTGGGGGGTTTGCATTTTCGACGCACAGATGGCTGGCACATTGACAGAGAAGGTGCCACCATGGGTGAATTTCACAGCTCAGCACAAACGGCTCAAGGCTACTGCTAACATGCTGTTCTTGGTGCTTTCCTTCTGGAATCCCACTTCGCCTGGAGCATTTAAAGCACAACATGACAAGAAAGCACGAAAAAAAAAATTCTTTAAACCAGATAAAATGTTGTTTGTATAAGCAACCCCACATAGTAGCAGTGGCTCAACCAATGGAGCGAGTCGGGGCGGAACTATGTGTTTGTGCAACTTATGGCAAATCTGCTTAAAACATTTATTCAGATTTCCACTAAAACTTTTTGCTATGACTGGAGGTCTCATCATCTTATAGATAAATATGTATGTACTGTATGCGTGTATATGTGCAATTAATGGCTTGTAGTTTAGGTACTTTTTGAAAATAGTAAATTGACTCATTCTAAACATATTTTTTTAAAGTACTAATTTGTGAAACTTTCCCGAAAAGCATATATACTATAGAACTATCAAAATACTGTTTGTTTGAGTGACCCTACATAGAAAGACTGCCTCAACCGAGGAAGCAAGTCAGGGTTATTATCTTTAACTAAAACTAAAACCATAAAAAAAACTTTTTGTTACTCGAAACAATATAAACTTTACCTGAAATAAAATAGAATATATAAAAAAACGTATTCTAGCTTTATTCTGATCTAAAATAAACAAAACGCATCATTCTAATTTTTTTTTTTTTAAGTACAATTAATGTAAGTGTTAAACTAAATACAAAAAAATAAATGAGTGCATTTTTTTTAAAAAAAAAAAAAAAAAAAAAAAAATTTAATCGGCATGAAAAAAAAAGTCTGTAAATACAGTGTGGGTCCTTGTACCTCATTCAGGATAATTGGAGATTATCCAAATGCTGTCCCTGTGCATGAATGGATGGGACTACTAGAGCCAAGAAGGGGGAGATGCATGTCAGCAAGGCCAATCACCTTGTTCGCATGGGGGATACACCAGTATAACTGGGTCACACTTCAAACTGATCAGGATTCGACAGCATTCTTCAAACCAGAGGTGCAAAGGAAACATCCACATTAATCCCAGGCACACATGATGATGTATTACTTGTTTAACCACCTCATGTCAAGAAGGAAGAGCTATAAGGAAGTACCGGCTACATGACAGATGAAGCTGGCCGCCTTACCGCAAAATAAACCATTAAGACAAGTGCTAACCCAAAGAGGATTATTCATTCATCTGGGGTTGGGAAACACGGGCTCTTAATGGAATTAGCGGGTGATAGCACACAGACTCCGAGCATTCACTCAATCAAATACACACACACACACACACACACAATTGCACAGACGCTTAACAGATGTGTCACAGACCGTGATTAGCCCTACTTCCTGCCACTCTAACAGTTCTGCAGGGAGTCTTTACCCAAGGCTCGCAAGAGTGAAGGACGCCGTGTAGCTCGAGAGGAAATGCTGTAAAGCGCTCTCATTAAGAGTCTAGAATGATTTACAATAGCCAAGGCAGACTTCTGCCTACATGTGTAGGAGCATGTGATATGGACAAGGGCAGGGTATTCATCACAGACAATCTGATTTATAACGCATCAAGGCTCCCAACATACCATTCACAGGGTGTGATAAGAACATGGAATGAAAAGAAGCATGAAAAATCTAAAGCATGCAATAAAAGTGAGACAGCAGCACACATATATTATGAGGGAATGGTTATAAAAGATGGATGTGGAAACATTCACTTTGGACCCAAAAAATGTACATTTTGTCTTCATTTTCTCACTCTCGTGTCCTTCTAAGCCTGTATTGTTAGGGTAGGTGATGACATAATTTAAGATGTACTTAGGGCAAGTTCAGTTTCTATAAAGAGTTCAATACTTTTATTAAGCAAAGATACATTAAATTGATCAAAAGTGACAGGAAAGACATTTTAAATGTTGCTAAATATTTCTATTTCAAATAAATGCTGTTCTTTTGAACTTTCGATTCATCAAAATATCGTGGGGAAAAAAAGTATCACGGTTTCCACAAAAAATATTCAGGAGCACAACTGTTTTCAACATTGATTACAGTTCGCACATTAGAATGATTTCTGAAGGATCAAGACAGGATGGCTGCTGAAATTCAGCTTTGCCATCACAGGAATAAATGTAAGTCCTGTAAATTAAATAGCAAATCTTTGCATTTTACATGCAAATAAACAATGAAATAAATGCAGTCTTGGTGAACATAAGAGACTTATTTTAGAAACATAAAAAATCTTACCGACGCCAAACGTGGCAATTTGTGCTTTCTACTTGTTATTTAAAACAAACTGGCTTTTATACTTTGTTATCTAATGCATTTAATGTCACCATGAACTGAGCCGTCCACATTTGAGTTCCACCAAACCTAGACCAGATGAGAGGTTAGGGAATGAAATCTGTATACTGCAGCGCAAGAATCATCTGCTGGCTCCAACGACTGGAACAAGACCCACTCACTTACATATCAGCAGCAGATTGATGGGACGCCGCCCGCATCGCCAGAATTCCTTCCATGAGCGAAACGGAGATTCCCGCTGTCTGTGGAGCGTTTCAGCATGCTGCTCATTCAGAGAGCAAGAGCATCAGACAGCATCCACACCATCTCTCAATGCACTTTCCACATAATACTGACATGAACAATTTGCTTTGAAAGATTGCTTTGAGAAGTCTTTGGGCCAAAAGGGTTTTTTATAGTTACAAAGGTGAGTGCTGTGTCGTTTCAGAGGCAGATGTAACATCTTCAGCTCACGTTGGTCTGCTTGTAATTTGACTAGCCATGATTTGAAAGATTTATATAGTTTATCTAGTTAATCAGACGCGATGCCAGTGACAAGCAATTTATCTGTCCACATCAGATGCGACACAGCGCTATGAGACGTGACAAAATCGATAAAATATCACACAGCCAATCAGAAGAGCGTGTGGGCAGAGCTCTCTCGACAGGCACACTGTGCTCGCAATTGAATGGATAGGTACATTTTCTTATTAATAAATATTACACCATTTTAACATTATTAAAAACACTGATTGAATGAAACAGTCTTTGTCACTGAAAACACTTGTTTGTTCACATTGATTTCACAGTTCAAACGTTCTTGTTTCCTCTAATTTATTTTCAAGCTCAGAGTTGAATTATCCACTCTCGCTTTCAGTACGGTAATATTAGACACTTTTAAGATTAAATGAAGCACATAATCATTACGTGAGACTATCATTGTTATAGTTGGCATGTTCACAGAAATAGAAACCGCTTCCATAATAGAATCCCCTGTTGTGACTGGTTAGGACAAAAACTCGAACATGGGAAAAATACCTTTTATCGCATCATGTCACCCCTGGTTTGGACATGATTCAACAGTCAAAATGCAAGTTATATTTAAAGGTAGGGTAGGCAGTTTTCAGGGCGGTTAGCGATAGCAAGTTAGCTTTGAAAGCATGAGATCCCACCCTCCCTTCATAGTGTCTCAAAAACCACGCCTCTTTCAAAATGCGTACAGCAGGGAGCAAACAAAAGCGTCATGAGAGACGGCGTTAAACTACCTCATGTCTCGAAACACATGACAATGACAATGACAATTTATTTGTATAGCACTATTAAAAACAACAGCTGTTGACCAATGTGCTTTCCACATAGAATCACAAATCAATAAGGAACTTTATATTTAAGAAACATGTAGGCACATATAAATACACAGTTTTTAATCAAAAGCTTTTGAAAATAAATATGTTTTAAGTTTGGATTTAAAAATAGTAAGAGATGGAGCCTGTCTTAAGCTAATTGGGAGAGCATTCCAAAGTTTAGGTGCAGCGATGCAAAACGCTCGATCTCCTCTGCGCTTTAGCCGCGATTTTGGGGTAGACAGTAAGGCCAGATTTGAAGAGCGCAGAGACCTTGCAGGCTTTTGTTCTATTAATAATTCCACTAGATACGTTGGTGCTAATCCATTCAAAGATTTATAAACTAAAAGTAATACTTTAAATTTTACTCTGTAACACACCGGTAACCAGTGCAATGATCTTAGAATTGGTGTAATATGCTCTCTCTTTTTTTTTTTGCACAGAAAACGGGCCGTAGCATTTTGGACAAATTGTAAACGAGATAGTGTTTGCTGACAAATTCCCAAATATAATGAATTACAATAGTCCAATCTCGTCGAAATAAATACATGAATTAATTTTTCAAGGTCTTTGAATGAGAGAAACGGTTTTGCCTTAACGAGCAGACGTAGCTGATAGAAACACGATTTTACCACAGAGTTTATTTGACGATCAAATTTTAGATTGTCGTCTAAAACAAAACCCAAATCTTTCACCCAGGGTTTTAAATACACGGACATCTCACCCAGATTTAAGTTAACAGGTTTTGATTGCTCAGATGGGCTGAACATAATGATTTCGGGTTTTTTTTTCGTTAAAAATCAAAAAATTTAAAGAAAGCCATGCCTTTACCTCCTCTAGGCATGCTGTAAGAGACGTTAGGCTTAAAAAATCTCGTTTCACGGGCAAATAAACCTGTGTGTCGTCTGCGTAGCAGTGAAATGACAGCCCGTGTTTTTTAAAAATGGACCCAAGAGGAAGCATATATAAAGAAAATAATAATGGAGCTAAAATAGAGCCCTGCGGAACTCCATAGTGTAGGTGTGCTGTACTCGAATAACGTTCGCCCATCTTAACTGAAAAACTCCTATTTGTTAAAAATGATATTAACCATTTCAAAGCTGTACCTCCTATACCAACATAATGCCTTAAACGGTCAATTAGGATGGTATGATCAATAGTATCAAACGCTGCTGTTAAATCGAGAAGAACAAGTACTGTAAAATCACCAGAGTCGCAAGTAATTAAAATATCATTAAGAACTCTGACCAATGCAGTCTCTGTGGAGTGACATTTTCGAAAGCCAGACTGAAATATTTCAAATAATGAGTTCTCAGCTAAATAACTCTGTAACTGTAATAGAATAATTTTTTCAAGAAATTTTGAAACAAATGGCAAATTAGAAATTGGCCTAAAATTTGTCAGAACAGATGAATCCAGGTTAGATTTTTTAATCATTGGACGGATCACTGCATGCTTTAAGCAGTCAGGCATAATCCCGGATTCTAGACTGCGATTTATTATAATCAGTAAATATGGAGCCATATCTGCAATGAGTTGTTTGAATAAAAAAGGAGGAAGACTATCCAGTGGTGAGCCAGAAGGCTTGACCTGCTTAGCTATTTCTAACAATTCCGCCTCAGTAACTGAGTTAAACTCACTAAATGACACAGCATCAGTTTCATTTAAGAGATGGTTATTAAAATTAAGAGAGATTGTAGAGGACGTGCAAGTTATACTCTGTCTAAGATCTCTTATTTTGTTTTCAAAGAAAAATAAAAACTCATCACATGACGGGGATGCAACCCCCGGAGTGAGTACAGTCGATGGATTTAAAGTAACATTTATAATATTAAAAAGTGTCTTTGGTCTGGAGCAGTTCTTGTTAATAATGTTTGATAGATATCGACATTTGGCTTTCTTTACTTCCTTCTGGTAGCTGCGCAGAGCATCCTTTAAAATCTCAAATGACACCTGAAGCCTGTCCTTTTCCAATTTCGTTCCGCTCTTCTGCAACAGCGTCTGAGGCAACGAATGGAATCATCAATCCAAGGTTCATAATGGATTTTTTGTCGCGGTGATCTTAAAGGTGCCACGGCATTCAAGACATCAGAGCAGGTGGAATTAAATCTGGAAAGAAGTACTTCCGCGCTGATCTCGCAAGCAAATTCATCGAGCGATGGCATCACTTCGTCAAAGATGGTTAGGAAAGATGATTTTGTATGATTATTAATGTAACGATATGGAGCCTCACAAGATAGGGTTGTAGATATCTTCGCATGGCAGGGTACAGTGAACATAACAGTCTTATGATCAGAGAACCCGTTTTCACAGATTTCCAAATCAATGATAGAAACTCCATGCTGGAGCACTAAGTCAAGGGTATGGCCACCTTTGTGTGTGGAAACATCGATCCCCATAATAAAATCAAAAGCATTTAGTAGATGCGTGAATTCCTTAGCCAAGCAATCATTCATGCAGCATACATGCACATTAAAATCACCCACGATAAGAAACTTATCATATTTTGGGGTCAGATCACCAAGGAATTCCGCAAAATCTGTTATAAAGTTTGTGTTATATTTTGGTGGTCGGTAGATAACAGCAACCAGAAGTGGATCAGCAAGTTCAAAGCAAAACGTCTGAAGTTCAAAACTGCTGTAACTGTTACTCGTCACTGTGCGACAGGTAAAATGTTCTTTATATATAGACACTAGTCCACCACCCCGGCCAGTTGTCCGTGGGGAGTTAAAATAGCGACATTTGTTTGGCAGAAGTTCGTAAAAAGGACTCAGATCTCCTGGACAGAGCCAGGTCTCAGTAAGAAATAGGAAGTCCAGTCTCTGCACAGAGAACAGGTCATTTAAAATAAAAGTTTTATTTACGATCGATCTGGAGTTTATCAAGGCCATCCTTACGTTCGTGGGATTTGATGTAGATTCCTTTTCATGCACTGCACTGCACATAACATTACAATAATAATGAACATGACTTAAAGAGCAGTGACCTGTACCACCTGACCGCTGTGGATTCATTTCGGAGTTGATAGTGTTGTCATTGAAACGCATAAATTCGAGTATAACATCACGGGTTTCCATCTCCTTTACAGTAGTTACGGTGTGAACGCAGCATAAGCTCGTTGTTTTGGTCCAGGAGGAACTGTAAAAGATGGCTGCTGTTTCGGGTGCGGTGCTCGGTGACTGACGTCTGTCTAACTGTATATCATGAAACGCGTTGATGACGTGTGATGTCTGCGTGAGCAGTGTGTGCGGAGGTATTGAAATACATTGACAGGCAGGTAGGACATCCTAGGTCATGATTGGACGAACATTTTATGGTCCTGCGCCTTCCACAGACGATATATATATATATATATATATATATATACACATATAAATACATTAAGACCACTTAACTTAGTGATTGCTATCAGGATGTGAAGAGACTTGTAACCAGCATAACAAAAAATGTTTCTGGAACAAATCGCCTACCCTGCCTTTAAGTGCGTACAATTTGACAGTTTTTTTTTGGCAAATGCTGCTTCACATTCACTTTTTAAATCCATTTTTTGGGATGAAGTAATATTGATTCCTGTGAAACCAAAGCCATTTTACATTATTAATGAAAACTCAGATTATAACCCAGTTACAGCCCACAGGGAGAGAGAGGAACACTGGCTGTCTCTTACCGATGCCCGTCTCTGGCATGGCAAACAGTGTCTTCTCAGTGGCCACACGAAACCGTCCATGAACCGAAAGACCCACGCCCTGCCGAGACAGAGAAAACAGTACAGATCAATAATTGTGTACCATGTTCACAGACCAGATGGAAAGATGAGGGTTTATGTCTCACACCCATCTACTGTAAGACAATACAGGAATAGTTCACTCAAAAATGAAAATGTATTACTCATCCTCATGTCGTAGCAAATCTGTATGCGTGGTCCATATGACTTGTGCGCAAGCACAAGACTTCTAAAAAATATCCAATACCTTTGTGTGAAAAACAGAAAAGAACAGAACGGAAAAAACAAAGACTTCCGTTCAAAAGTTTGTGGCCAATTGTGGACAGCTCAGTTCATGGTGACATTAATTGCATTAGATAAAGTATAAAACGCATTTTGTTTTAAAGAATTAGTACAAGCACAAATCACAGAGCTTCAGAGCAAGGTTGTAAATGAAAAAAGAAAATACTTTTAAAGATGAAGACAAAATACTGTCTTTCTGGTTATCAAATTTGGTGCGACCGAATTCCACTAAACCAATCTTTAAACCATGCAGATGCCACTTGCTTTGGTATTGTGTTGTCTAATACAATCATCCTCATTTTAAGTGTGACTTTCACTACTGTTCAAACATTTGTAAAACGTTTTTGAAAGAAGTCTCTTATGCTCACCAAAGCTGATTTTTTTATCTTTGATAAATATAAAGTTCAAAAGAATAGCATTTAAATATTTGAACAGCATTTCTTTTGTCACTTATGACACAGAAAGGATTGACACTTCTTTTGACACAGAAAGGATCTGTGAAGATGTCCAAAAAAACATGTTTTCAACAACAGAAATGAGCAACTACTCCTGAACTTGTCCTGTAAAACATTAGCAGTGGAAAAAAAGTGGACAAAGTCAATTTGGAACGATGTGCACCATATGCTCAGTGTCAGAACTTAAGCCTCTCCCTAAGCACTGTTGCTATAGTGAAGCACCAACAACATGTTCTGTGACTTAGTAGTGTTTGAGACCCTGCATCATGACTGTATCGCCTAAGCAGCAGACGCAGGAATGGAATAACAAACAGTCCACTGATGTATGGCACACCATCTCTCTATGTGCTCTGAAACTCCAGATTGTTCCTGCACCACGTAGGATTAGAAACAAATGGTACAACACAGCAACCCTAGCACACGGCTGACGGTCTTGCATTATAGACACAGCTAAATGATTACCAGGTCTTTAAATCGGTTATGTTAATAATTATAGATTACCGATACAGGCCGAATATCTTTGTCAAGTCAAGTCACCTTTTTTTATATAGCGCTTTTTACAATACAGATTGTTTCAAAGCAGCTTTACAGTGATAGCAGGAAAATAATGCAACAAAGTTTGTTTCGGCTGAGCAGCAGAACTATAGGAAATTGTGGGGGGCTAGGGGGCAGTTCTAGCCTGGGAAAACCCAGACAACTTCCGGCAAATTTAGATTTGCTCTGAAAGTTAGTCTGGCAAAGAGCTCATTCAAGCTCATTTCCAATCCGCCGAAATCGCGGCACCAATCAGAAACGTTGGGGCGGGCTTTACACGATGACGACAGCGCTGGGATTTTGAAGCAGATTTTGTAGCCTACATTACAAAGATGGATGCCGCCGTCGAACATCACTCGTTCGAATCAGCTATCGCGTCGGTTTTGAGCGATTTGAACGTTTCCTTTTTGTTAAAAACAAAATGATGTTTCTCCCCCCGCTCTGCATACGTCATCTCCTTCATCGCTCTGATTGGTTTTAGGTCTATCCGCGACGTCCGTTGGTGACGCCCCTCTGGAAATGATTTGTCTATGACGCTTTGCCAGACCATAACTCAGTAACAACTGAGAATGGTCTGGTTTTAACCAGGCTAGGGCAGTTCTCCTCTGGCCAACGAACGAACAGTGTATGATTATGATTCAGGCGGCATCACATGTCAAAAGTCAGATTGGGATAGGAAACAATATTTAATCCAGTTCCATCTGGTTGAAGATCGAATTAATCACGGCTGTACAGAGACAGGGTTTTTTGAGGATCTCTGCCACTGGCTGTCGCATCAATGAGGTCGATTTTGGACTGTCTTTCTCTCAGTCTATCAATTCACAATCACTAGACAGCCTTCTGAAGTAATAATTTTTATTTTTATTTTTTATACCGACCACAAACTTTTTAACGATAGTGCATCGTGCAACCGATGCATATTAGCATCTTATCAACCATTAAGCACTTTGCTTTAAATATCGGCATCACCACAGAAAAAAAAAAAACATACTAGTTGGCCACTGACAAAGTCCTTTTAAGGCAAGTCATTTCACTCAGGGGCTATAATTGAAATACCTCTCAGACAGCTATTTCACTCATGCAACTACCTCTTGCCAGTATCTCTTTGTATGGGGAAACATCAAATTCCCCAGAGCTGTTCACCGAGCTTACGATTAAGTTCATCACCAATAAAATATTGTTGTCTTATGTTCAAAGTCAAACAGTGTTAAACATAGTGCTGTCTAATCGATTAATTGTGATTAATCGCATCTAACATAAAAGTTTGTGTGTATATATATATATATATATATACACACACACACAATGTTTTATGTTAGATGGAATTAATCAATTTGACAGCACTAGTTAAAAAGCTTATTTTCAGGCTAGATCCGCCAATGCTCATGTGCAGGTGCAGTGACACAAAGACTTTACAAATCAGCGATTAGCTCTTTAATATAGAAGGCGAGACTTATTCCACCATATTGCGTGTTGCACTTTCTCCTATTCATAGTAATGAGTTCACCAGCTTTGTATATCTAAAGTATTTGCCTCAAATTAGCACTGGTGATGAATCATCATCAAAAAGTTAGAAACGGCTTATAAAGAAAAAATATTTTGGAATGTCAAGACACAAACATTTTAAACTAGCCGTTATACAAAATAACCTAGCCAAAAGTGTCACTGCAAACCTCGACCTGATTCTGTCATAAAGAAGATCTACAAATGAGACAGCATCGTCTTCATCACTTCAATGCATTAAGCTGATGTGCCTCATCATTACAGCACATGACTGACATGGACTCATCTAGTTTAACAAAATACACATCATAAAATCAGTTATTACGAAACCACCTGGGGACTGCATTCTCAATGGGCTGCTCATTAAAAGACAATAATAATGAGGGATTTGAGAAGCATGTTGTGATCCGACTCAGAGCAGCACATGTGTCCCCTACATGAAAACTCATTAGGTTGATTACGATTAAGTGAGAACAACCATCTCAAACTATCGCAGAGTCAGAGCAGAAGAAGCAGTAGGAATAAGCTCTCTGAATCGTTTGGCAAATTTGTAAGTATTCTGAGTCAAACGGGAAACACGTGTAGCTGGAGGCATCAAATCAATTACCTAGAAGCGGTGGAAACTCTCATCCATTCTCCAAAATGTTTGGCTGAAATCTGACAGAAAACTTGCAGACAATGTAGGCAGCATCTAAATATAAAAATCAACTCCAGGATGAAAAACAGTACCTATCAAAAACAGCATTACCCCCTATTTATTAAACAAATATGGCACAAAAATGTTGCCAAAAATGTTTAAAGACCATCTTTAATCTGGTATTTTTCTAACATGAAAGAGCTCTGGAACGTTTCATCACAGATATCCCAAAAAAAGGCAAACAGCTTTATCAGGTACTTGGCAAACCACTGAATCTAAAAACGCCAGTGGTGGGGAAAAAGGTTCCTGTTAAAGGGGTGGTATAATGCCCTTTTCACAAGATGTAAAATAAATCTCTGATGTCCCCAGAGTGTGTATGTGAAGTTTTAGCTCAAAATACCCCACAGATATTTTTATATAGCATGTTAAAGTTGTCACTTTTTGAGGGTTAGCAAAAACGCACCGTTTTGTGTCTGGCCCTTTAAATGCAAATGAGCTGCACCTCCCGACACAGTAGGCGGAGCTTCAAGAGTGTGTGTGTTAGCTGCTCCGATTACCTCACGCAGACACACGCTAAAATGTCAGAAACTGTTCTGCCTTTTATGTTTAAACCGGAGTCAGACAAAGATGGAGAGACTAAGAAGAAGTGACAACATGTAGAATGCAACAGGACATCTCTGAATGGTTAGTTGATGAATTTATGTTGCTGATGTGGAGTTAACTATCTTCAATAGCATATTCAGTCAAGATAATCTATAAATCGCTTGTATAGGAACTGTTGTGAGATGCACACAAAGTAACTTTCTATTGCATGTGAAAAGACAGATGCTACAGTTTGAGCTGACTCACAAATGTGCTTGACTACAACAACTCTTCCTCTTCTCAACATGGACTGGGTGTTCCCGGGGGCGGGGTTTATGTAAATTTTAGGGTTAGTGATGTCACTAACCCGGAAGGAAGCTTGTGTAGTTCCTACCAGCCGTTTGTTGTAGTCCTTAAAAAACGATTTCTTTAAAAGCAAATATCTCCCTTTGCTTTGAACTTTGAGCGTTGTAACTTTGCAGATGTTGTTTATGCTCAAACAGCAACATTACACACTAACTAAAGTTAGAAAAGAGAAATCATAATCAACCACCCCTTTAACTTAAACTATCCCTGAACTATCCCTTTGTGGTTTGTTCAGGGCTTCCGTACTTTAATGATGGAGAGGAATAAAAAAAAATGGAATGGAAAAAAAACTATTATGCACTATTATGACATTATTTGTAATTCTGCATCTACTGCCCATTTATTTTTCTCAAATATCTGAGTAAATGGAAAAATCCATTTTTAAACCTTAGAGACATTAGAGGTCATCATGGACTCAGTGAGCTTGCATGGTCATTCTATTCCCAAATAACAGTACAGAGTCCTCAGCTGACACACAACACACAGCTCTGCATCAAACGACCAAAATATGTACAGCACCGAGGTCGACCCACCGTACCTCGACCTTGAACAGAATCCCTGAACAATCAAACACCAGGTGGTGACAGATTCACCCTGTGACATTGCTTTCCTACTGCCAGAACCCCATGCAACTGTGACGACAGTAAAATTTCAACTGCTCTGTTATGCTGGTATTTTTGTACTTGCTCATTTGAAACTTAGCAAACTGAGCTCCATTAGCAATGAAAAGACTTATATTGTCATGGAAACTAGCATGTATAAACCTTAAAGGAACACTCCGACTTTTTGGGACTTTAGCCTATTCACCTTATCCCCCAGAGTTAGATAAGTCCATACATACCTTTTTCATCTCCGTGCGTGCTATAAGTCTGTTTGACGCACCCACCGCAAGCCTAGCTTAGCACAAAGACTGGATGTAAATGGTTGCAGCTAGCATACTAATCCAAATAAGTGACAAAATAACGCAAACATTTTCCTATTTACATGTTGTGATTTGTATAGTCACAGAGTGTACAAAAAACAAAGTCATATGAGACACAGACATATTTTAACCGTATAAATACTGGGAACTATATTCTCTGAAGGCGAAGCACTGCTACTTGGGCGGAGTGATAACCGCAGCACCTGAGACGAGCCGTGGTGAGGAGCAGAGAGCGCGTCTCAGGTGCTGCGGTTATCACTCCGCCCAAGTAGCAGTGCTTCGCCTTCAGAGAATATAGTTCCCAGTATTTATACGGTTAAAATATGTCTGTGTCTCATATGACTTTGTTTTTTGTACACTCTGTGACTATACAAATCACAACATGTAAATAGGAAAATGTTTGCGTTATTTTGTCACTTATTTGGATTAGTATGCTAGCTGCAACCATTTACATCCAGTCTTTGTGCTAAGCTAGGCTAGCGGTGGGTGCGTCAAACAGACTTATAGCACGCACGGAGATGAAAAAGGTATGTATGGACTTATCTAACTCTGGGGGATAAGGTGAATAGGCTAAAGTCCCAAAAAGTCGGAGTGTTCCTTTAATACTTAAAATATTTAATAATCAATAAAAAAGGAATTTATACCTGTATGATATTACGCTGTACCCACATTGGAGAAGCGGTTTGAAAAATGGATGGATGGATGATTCAGCAGCGAACGCCAATTTCTGGCGAGACACGGAAATTCATTCGTAATGACCCTCACAGTGCATTATGGGTAGTCTCTAGCTGTTGAGCGTACATCAGTTGTACACGCGTTATAGCGGTGCATTATGTGATTGAAAAATTGCACTCGATAACGTCCACTATGGTTTTGGACACCACTACAAATGGCTGTCCCATCAAATAGTGTCCTATTTAAAGGTATAAGGGGTGATTTTGGACACAGCCTTGGAAATAGTTGTTTCCCCCACCCCCTCCTCCTTATACTCGACAGGATTGAAGACACACAACAGGAACGAGCGCAATTTCACAATGGAAGGTGACAAGCCTTATACTATATAAGTTGATTTATCGTTTTAATATGCCTCAGGACATAGAGCTTTTTAGATGGATGCCGAGGCTTTTTAGGTTGGGTAGAATCTGCGATCTCTGACCTAGTTCATTTTCTGGCTTCCATGGCTGCAATACGCTGTATTTCCTGCCAAACCGGGATGTTGAAATACTATTAAGTAAATTGGAAGTGGGCGGAATCAGACACACAAAAACAAAAACAAAAACAAAAACAGACATTCCGACACAGAACGCACATTTCAAAGTAGAATAAAGGTGTGTTCACGCCACATCATAATTTCCATAATTATGTAAAAAGCGTTCATGTCCTCATAGAACTTCAAAGTGGGGAACATTTTCTGAGAGCTCCTACTTGAATCACATGACCACAGTAATTAGGACAGCGTGAACGCAGCACAACTGACTGTAGCATTGTTTTTCAGAGAAACAAGTGTGTGACCTTAGCATGATTCCTAAATATCTGCAATACATATTATGGAATTTTTTATGCTTTAGTACAGTCAAAAAATTACACACAGCACCTTTAAGCGCTATATACAGCAGATGATTCATTAGAATAAATTCTAGGCACCTCTTGATTTTTTTTTAATACCTGTAAGCAGAATAATTTCTAATTCAGTCGAAATTTCTGTATGAATTTTTGTGCATTGATCCATAATTGTTTGTGATGTATTTCTAATTGCTAACTGCTTAAATGAATGACATTTAAGCCTACATGTTTTATGTGCAACATGGACACAATGATATTAAACTCAATCCAAGACTAAATCAAAAGGCTAGCCTACCAATCAAAAGACAGGATTCAAAAGAAACCCAAAGATTGTTTGCAAAAGCAGCTCAATGCTGAAACCTACTGGATAAAATACACGGTGCAGGATAGAAATTAAGAGGATTAAAAGAGGGGTTTATGACTCGTAGTGCATCACAGCTTTCCTGCAGCTCATATAGTCAAACATGACTGCAAGATATTGAAAATTGCACTAAAAACACATATAATAGTCATATAATAACTCATAAAATAATGCGTCCTTGTGATAATTAATATTTTTCATGCATTTGTTTACAAATCAGAACACTAATGCTGAATTGGGAACTGCATACTAACATACTACTCTACTACTACATACTACTAACATACTAAGATACTATACATTTGCCATATCTTTCAATGGCAGAAATAGTAGGAGTAGTAAGCGGCTCTAAACTTTGCAAGGAACCAATGGCAATGTGAGTCCAACTGTTTTGCACAAATTCACAGTGACACTGTGAAAAGATTGGCACAGCTAGCCTATGTGTATTGTTTATACAAAGCAGGACACTTTGTCATTCAATCGTTTTATTTTATTTTGTAAACACAGACAAGCTGGCCCACATTGCCTTTGATGACATATTCTGCTAACTCAGAACAGACAGCACCATCTGCTGGTGTACTTGTGCAGCAAGATGACAACTTTAAATAAATACTTACTCCTCCCATTGTAATTCCATCAATTAGGGCCACATAAGGTTTCTGATATGTGCCTAAAAAAGGTCAAATAAATAATAAATAGATAAATCTGTTCATCAAACCGAAAAACTGGCAACAAAAGTGTGAAAACATACCAATAGTGTTGTTCAGAATGTATTCCTCACGGAAAAAGTCTTGAGCAAGGGAATCGCCTGCTTTTCCAGCCTCGGTGACAGCTGGGAAAGTAATTTTAGCATTTCAGTGTGAATGGCATCACTGCATTATCTATGCACGGATCCATAAAAGAGCGAATGAGAAAACAAACTGCATGTTTATCTTAGATAATTACCTCTGATATCCCCACCAGCACAGAATGCTTTCTCCCCTGCTCCTTTAATGATCACAATATCTGTTTCGGAGTCTTTGTCCCATTTCTACAAAACACACAATGATCAAATCAGGTCAACAATCAGAGATGATCATATAGAGTTAGAGCGGGTGAATAACAATAATACAGGGTGGTTAGTGATGTTGTGAGAAAGGTTTCCAGTCTCCCCGAACCTTCAGCTGAGGGTAGATGTGTCTGATCATGGTGAGGTTCAGAGCATTGAGAGCTTTGGGTCGGTTTAGTGTGATGACACCAGCATTCCCTACTTTCTCAAACAGAACTTCGTTCCCAGCTTGACTGGACATCTGAAACGAGACATATAGTAATAAAACAATACTCAATGAAAGAAGTTCCCAGACTAAACACTAACATGTACATTACCAATCAAGGTTTGCACACATAGACCAGCTCATTAATGTCATTTTTTTTTAAACACAATGCACAATTTATATTTATAAATCAAAATCAATAAAAAAAGCAGCATAAATTTCATTGTGTGTCCATACTCTTGACTAGCTGAATAATGCACACACTGTATATGAATATTTAACATGAATACTCGTCATCCCTCCTTAGAGATCAAACTTACCATGTGTCCTTGTATTCTCTGCAATCTAACGATTGATCGTAGTCTGTATGGGATAAAATCAATATTTGTGTCACTGTTTTTTGTAACATCGAATTGTTATACATATTGTTAATAAAATTAATCTCTTAAGACTATTTTGAAACTGAAACCTCGGTTGTTTATTTGTAGAAACACACACACACACACACACACACACACACACACACACACACAGACACAGAGACACACACACAGACACAGAGACACACACACACACACACTTAGATATTATATACTTAAGAGACGATGTCAAAACTTTTTCTTATTCATTCTTTTTGGGAAAGAGTATAGTGTTGCTGCACTGTCTGCAGATGTCCTGTAACTTACATCAAATTGCATCCAATATTTTACCTCTGGAGTCTATAAGCGGAACAAATCCATTATAGCATCAACCATGTGACACTTCAGGAACACTCACCTGTGCGCTGATGTTAAAATTATGAACGACATGGCTAAAACTCAGACAGTTCAGCTGATGTTCTGGATCACTATACACAGATAGCTTTCACCCTGTCGCCACTGTTCATTGGCCCTCTTTCATGATGTCATGGTGGCGCGACACCATCGAAGAAATCTCGCGATGTGTCAAAGCAAAAGTTTCGACACTGCCAACTACAGTTTCACCCGCGACTTGTCATTGAATTATATTACGACATATAAGTGACATATATATGACATATAAGATTATATTTCACTTTTGATGTTTTTTTTACTAAGGTTTTGATAACAACATAAATGAGAAAACACCGATATAAACAGGTTCTGTAATCTGTACAGAAGGTGCCTAAGTTAGTGATGTGAGAAACGAAACTTTGAATCAATTGAACCAATTGCTTCGCAAAATGATTCACTGATTCGAAACGCGACTCACTTGTGTCACCCATATGGCTCTGCCTCTGATGTCACCAAGACCTGCTGGTCACAAGTTCACAACTGTGTAAATGCAACGAAAACTTGCATAAGTAAATAAATAAACACCTTTTACAAACTAATTGCCAATGTTTTAATAAAAGCCTATCTATTAAATGCAATAAACAAATAATCTAATACCATTAAATATGAAGTCTCTGTATATTATGTGTGTATAATATTTGTATTTTTTTTATTGTGGGGCTTGTTTTATGGAGAGCTTGATTAATCAGGTCAATAAGAGATTATTAACTAAAAAACTTTATTTTTATTACACAAATGTGCCATTAAAAATGTCTACAAATGTTATGTTTTTCGTGTATGGTTCGTGAACTTACAGAGCCTCCTAGCGGCGAATATGGCGTAACGAAGCCTCGTGTTTACGCGCTCCGAATCACTGGTTCGAAACAAATGATTCACAAAGGTTTCGAAGCTTCACGAAGCGTCTTTGGAAAGCGCCCAACACTAGCCTGAGTTGCTAGGCAACTGTACCAACGCCGGAAATACGTGGCTGTGTGAGAGACATGGCGAACAGGAGGGGAACAGCTGTGCCTCTCCTCTTCCATCATATTTTACGATATTTTTCAGTATTAATCCTCTCTGTTTTATCCTATAAATTAACTTCGGCCTCAGACGACGATCCCTTTCGTGCCGGGCAGTCGATGCTGTCTCCGGTGGCTGCACCATCGCGGGATGTTCGGTAGGACTTGTAGGGTTATACTGGAAAAGATGCTTCCTGCTTTTACATTACTGTCCAGAGCTGTTAAATTCACATGTGTTGGTTTGTTCATGTTTTGTAATACCCTTTGAACTCCGTCATTTTAAAATTAATGAGTATGTTTATGAGGTTATAAGAAGTAAAACACTTCTCCTTTCTGTCTCGTTTACCTCCATCAAGAACCTCTTTATTGACACAAAACCAGAATTTTTTTTTCATATTGAATATTATATTGGATATCACCATTGTTATATATTATCATTATTTTACTAAAATGTCCATTATTACTATAAAAACAAACAATACTGCGAGAAACCGAAATGTACGTTTCTGTCAAATTGAAGCATTTTATAAATGCATTTAATTTGGTATTGATTTGATTTCCAAATGAGATAGAAGTAGATAAATATATTAGAATTTTACACATAATTTTACAATAAAAACATGTTTTGTTTGAAACGTTTTGATCATTTTGTCAGGTTTGAAAGGACAACTTTTTTTTCAAAAAGCACCTGGAATATTTCACACCAAATTTAATGAAAAATTCAATTGCTCAAAATAATTGATTTAAAGTTCAATTCATTAAATTTGATTAACTTCTTTGTGATAGCAGTCTGGGAAATCTGCTATTTTATAAATGCTTTTTTAGTCTGGTATTGATTTGATTTTCAGTAATATAGAAGTAGGGGAACATAATGAACATTCAATAATAAAAACATGTTTTGTTTGAAACATTTTAATTTGAAGAGAGACAACATTGAAATATCACATGGGATATTTCACACCAAATTGAATGAAAAAATAAATTCCTCAAAAATGCTCAAACTAATTTATTGAAGGTTCAATTCATTCAATTTTATTAACTTCTTTGTGAGACCAGTCTGAGAAATCATTTATTTAGTTGGAAAGATAGAAGTTGGAAAAAAATACAATTGTACAATAAAACTTCTTTGAAACATTTTAATTGGAGAATACCTTGGGTATAACAAATATATAATAAATATAACAAATCTTTTTGTCTATAACAAAAAGAAAAATCACATGGATTATTTCACACAAAAATTGATTAAAAATAGTTTTTAAAAGTGTTGAAAGTTTGATTAATTAAACTTTAGAAATAATAGAAAAATAATATTTAAAAATGTGAACATTTTAACCAACACATTAAGACATAAAGCCTAAGTTGGGAACCTGAAAGTGTACTGCACTGTAGGAATTGACCCTGTTTTTATGTAATGCTCAGATACCTCCTGTATGATGTGAATCCACCTGAGGGTTTCAATCTTCGTCGGGATGTGTACATTCGCATGGCCTCTTTGCTGAAGACATTGAGGAAAGAGGGCGACTGGGTGCTAGTGTTGCCTCCATGGGGTCGTCTATATCACTGGCAGAGCCCTGATATACATCAGGTTCGCATCCCCTGGGGAGAATTCTTCAGCGTGACCAGCCTGCAGGCTAAGATACCAGTCATCGAGTATGAGGAATTTATTGCTGGTGAGCTGTGCTGTTTTTGTTTACCATTAATTTGTTCAAACAGGGGGAATGTCGGAGAAACATGCTTAACCAATATGTTGTGTTTGGGTCATTTTGACCCAGAGAGGATTTTCTTAAAGTGTAGTTAATGTTATCGCATTGGACTAAAACTTCACTCACACAGGGTATAACTAGGTTACTTCCCAACGGTTTGGGATAATATTTGTACTTTCCCTTCACCTTGTAAAAAAAAAAAAAGTGCACTGTTAATTGCACTAGTATGCTTTAATGTTTAACCAGGAAGTTTGTTTTGAAATGTTTTTATTTTGTACAAAATGGAACAAAGTCACACTTGTGGTGTTCAATGTCAAAAATTACCGGCCTACAAAAAACAGCTTATAAATCTGTCGTTATGCTATATTATCACCAAATATTTGATTCAGTCTTTTTGTCAACTTGATTTCTTTCGATTAGGACAGGTTTTATATTTATTTTTTGAAACTGACTGATTGTAGGCCTCATCTGAGCTTATATCCATCCATTGAAAATGAAAGGGGGAGATCGAAAATAAGGCGTTCATCATGTACATGTTCACATATGTACATGTGTGCTTGAAAAGATAAAGGCCTCGGACCTGTGCATGTGTGGATACATGCACACTCGCGCTACCGCGCACACACACACACACACACACACACACACACACACACACACACACACACACACGTTCATGTACACAGACAAACTATTTTGAGTAATACAGGCTTTCTTTTTCACAGAGATGAAATGTATCCTCAGATCAATGAGGCCTATATCATTTAAAATAAAAACAAAACCTGTCCTTATTGAAAGAAAACAAGTTGACAAAAATATTTAATCCAATATTTGGTGATAATATGGCGTAGCAAGAGATTTATAAACAATTGTTTTGCAGGCCGGTCATTTTTGACCACGAACTCCTCAAGTGTGACTTAATTTTGCACAAAATAAAAGCACATTAAAACAAATTTCCTGGTTAAACATTAAAGCACACTAGTGTGATAAACAGTGCACATTTGTTCCATATTTTGTTTAATATTGACAAAATTATTCTCAAATAATGTTTTTTCACTCAAAGGTGCTGAAGCTCAGATCAATAAGGCCTATGATCAATCAGTTCCAAAAATAAATACAAAACCTATCCTAATTGAAAAAAAAAAAAAAGTCGACAAAAAGATGGAATGCAATATTTGGTGATAATATAGCATAACAAGCAATTTACAAGCAATTCACAAAAGGCCAGTCATTTTTGACTTGGAACACTAAAGGTGTTACAGGATTTTCAACTCAGTGCAAGGGTTTAAAATATTTAGCAATTCCACATGATGACGGTCTTGCGTCACTGTCTAGTTAGTCATATTTTATTTAAATAGGAACATTGCATTTATAAACAATTAAACCGACTCAATTATGATTTCCACATTTTGTATCTTTATGATTGGTCTCAGAGTCTGGTGGTCCCTTTATTGACCAGATCCTTGTGCTGCAGAGCTATGCAGAGGGCTGGACAGATGGGAAATGGGAAGAGAAGGTGGATGAACGACCATGCATTGAAAGACTGATGTACTCAAAAGACAAACAGAACTATTACAGGTACCACATTTTAATGCACGACGTGGAGGCAAAGACCTGCCCGGCTCGAAGCGAAGTGCATTCAAATCGTTTAATGCATTTGTAAAACGGTGATTCAACTGCACAACTTCCAATTGAAACCATGTATCACGTTTTGAGTTTATTTGTTCATGTTTAGAATATATATTTTTTAATCTCTTTTCTTTTCCAGCTCTGTTCAGGTGTGTGTTTCCTAGTTAGTCTTCTAATGTGTTCATTAGTTCAGTCTTCCTCCTCCCCTGCCTGTTTGTATCCTTGGTTACTGATTAAGTTAGTTGAGTTCAGGGGCCTATACCATGAACCCGGTTTAGGTGGCTAGCCGGGTATGTTTCAGTTTAGTTTGCGCCAACCCTGGGTTTTAGGCACCATGAAAGTGGTTTGGCTTTTAGCTGTGTTCATCACCATAGTAACTTACACTCCACTGCTAGCTAACTTGGTCTAGGGCAGGTTATGTTCCTGGTAAGAGGTTGCAAACCGAACTTGGACCAATCAGCTGTGAGCAAAGTGACGCGCTTAAGTCACTCCACCTGTTTCCTCTCCAAATTAAAGGTCACTACATAACAAATGATTTTTAAAGACAAAATCGTCTGGCTTTTAGTAATGCTTATTTAGAATAATAAATTTGTATGATTTAGATATTATTTATGTAATTATTATACCCTTAATTGATCACACATGTATCATTTAGTAGAGTTTAAATGAATAAATATATAAAGGTAATATAAATACGCTTTAGAGTCAATAGATGAAGCTATAAAATGACTACATATGAGCTTAAATGTTCAATTCTCTCTATACCTTTATCAACTGTATAAACTAACTTCACAGCTTTTACTTGCACTGATATACAGTAGCGAGACTTTTTCTTTTAGTTGTCCTCTTTCATAGACAGCTATTTTCTTCTTGCTGTGTAAATTTGTTTAAATTCATAATATTTTAATACTTTTATTTAATAAGTGAATTGCGCTGCTTCTCTCTCTCGAGAAATGAATCGCAGTTTCACTCTTTCTCAGCATGTGATTGGCTGTTCGCTATTGATGTCACACCTAAACTCCTAAACTCTGGATCCAAGCCTGAGTTGACAGAGAAAGTTGATGATCAGCATCATGGTACCAACAAAGCCTGGTTGGATTGGTTTGTTTTTGTCAACTCAAAACTAATCCTGCAACCCTGAGTTTGTTCAACTACCATCATGGTACAGGCCCCAGGTGTGTCTAGTTAATTTACCCTCTCTTGTTTGTGGTGTATTTAAGCCCAGTGTTGAGTCATGTTCATCAGTCTGTCGTTACGCGTGCCCTTGGATAGTTTCTGGTTGTTCTGTTCCTTGTGGTTGTATTCTGAGAATCTTCAGTATTTCTATTAGTTTGAGTTTGTTATTAATAATGACTGCTGCACTAAGATCCAGTTTTGTCTCTGGTGCAACCAGGACCGTGACACCATGATAATGTTTTTCAGGATTCTTTGATGAATAGATAGTTCAAAAGAACGGCACTTATTTGAAATAGAAGGCTTTTGTAACATTATTAAAGTTTTTACTGTCACTTTGGACAAATTTAATGTATCCTTGCTGAATAAAAGTATTCATTTTTTTAAAACATTAATTCTTTTGAATTGCAAAGTATGTACATACAACTTGTGTACTATACGATGCCTTTGTGTGACGAACAAACTGAAATAAAAGGGATAGGTTGTGTCATCATTTACTCACCCTGTTCCAGTGTATGATTTTCTTTGTTCTGTTGAATGTGAACGAATATATTTTTAACTGTTTTGTCTATACAAGATAAGTCCAAACAAAACAAGACTGGTCCTTCAACACTGGTCCTTCTTTTGTGTTCCACAGAAGAAAGAAATCCACAGGATTGGAACAAAGTAATGATGCCAGAATTTTAATGTTCAAACTATTTTTATTGAATTAAATATTGTTTCTCTTTCTCCAGAGGTTGGTTTTGGGGTTATGAGGAGACCAGAGCATTAAATGTCACCTGTTTATCTGCTCAGGGACATGCCTCTATCTTGGCCCCTTTCCTACAAAACAACTTATCAGCCACGTAAGTCACTTTTTAATTAGAATTGCAATAAAATAGCTTTTAAATGCAAATGGGGGTGTTGTTTTTTTGTTTTCATTCAACCACAGGTCAGTAATGCTGGACAGAGCTGAGACTGTCCTTCATGATCACTATGCTGGGAAGGACTACTGGGATGTAAGTCCATCAACAAATATTTTCATGTTTTAGAAATAATTTAGCCAAAATATAGTAGTAATTAAGATTTTTGAAACATTTCTCACCTGATGGTTTGAAATTAAACCAAACATTTGACTATATTGCTCAACAGACACGGCGAAGCATGGTGTTTGCCAAACACTTGCGTATCATAGGGGATGAGTTTAGGGCCAAGTATCTCAACTCCACAGATAAAAAGGACCAGACACCATACAACGAGGACTGGACCCAAATGAAAGTATGTTTTACTTACAGTAATACTCCCTTCTCATTGTTCAACTACAAGAAGTGCTGGTGTCACTGCTGTCTGCATGATAGATACTGAGTATCTTGAGTCAAACTGGTGTTTATGCAACAAGATGAAGGATTTGAGCTCTTTAGTTCACATGTCACGACAATGCGTTTTTAGAATGTTTGCAATGTGCTTTACACCCACGCTCATTTTATTATGATAGCAGTCATATTTGTTTCATGAACTTTTATAAACTCTTTGGCCCAGAACAGGTTGGGCAGTGCTAAGGGAGGTCCTTACCTGGGAGTCCACTTACGTAGGAAGGACTTCATCTGGGGTCACAGAGAAGATGTGCCTAGCCTTATTGGTGCAGTAAAGAAGATCCAGAGCCTCATGAAGAAGCACAAGCTTCAGCAAGTCTTTGTTGCCACCGATGCAGACGAAGAAGGTACAGATTAAAAAAATAGTAAAACATCAATAATGTACCAAGCATTTAAGCTTACGTTCAGACATGTTTTTTGTGTGTGGTTTTTTTACAAAACTTTCACTGAATAGAGGTAGAGGCCATACTTCCCGCCAAACAGCAACATCCACGACATTGTGGTATTTTAAGGAATATTTACTCACAAATTCAGATATTTGTTATCGTTTACTCAACTTCGTGTCATTCCAAAACCTTTTGCTGATATTTATTTCTCTTCAGCAAAATATAAGATTTTAAAGTATATTCATGCATGTCTGTCCAGTTTTAAAAAGATAAAAAAACCACCATAAAAGTAGTTAAAGATAGGGTTGGCAATTTCAGAGCGGCTAGCAATAGGTCCAAAGCCATGCCTCCTCCAAAACACATGAACGCACACAGCCAGAGCAGATTCAGCAAAGTGCCATGAGACGAGGTGAAATTAGCACATATGTCTCAAAGCACATAACATTACAATAATAATAAATGTAAATAACTTAAAGAGCTCTAACTTGTACCACCTGACTGCTGCAGATTAATTTCGCCGTTGATAGTGTTGACATAGAAACGCATAAATACGAGTCTGAGGAACATCACGGGTTGCCATCTCGTAATTACGGTTATGACATGGCGTGAACGCAGCATAAGCTCGTTGTTTTGGTTCAGAAGGAACTGTAAAAGGAGGCTGCTGTTTGTTTTTGGTGCCCGGTGACTCTACAACTCTACATAGCCTTACTGAACATGCTGATGACGTGTGATGTCTGTGCGAGCTGGGTGCGTAGAGGTATGGAAATACACACAGGCAGGTAAGACATTGTATCATTGCATTTGGACCGAATGCATTTTGAAATAAAAAATTTTTTGGCCCTGAGACTTCCACAGACGATATATATGTAAAAAAAAAAAAAAAAATTGATATATTTAGACCACTTCTATTACTAATTGCTATCAGGATGTGAAAAGAGTTTAAATCAGAATAACAAAAAGTGTTTATGAAAAAAATTGCCTACCCTACCTTTAATATGACTTGAGCTCTATTATATTACATGTCTTCTGAAGCCATTTGATAGCTTTTACTCAGCAAGTACACGTTAAATAGATAAAAAAATAACAGTAAAGACATTTTAATACAATTTAAATAAATGCTTTTGAACTTTATATTTATCAAAGAATGATACAAAAAAGTATAATAAAATAGCACAACTGTTTTCAACATTGATAATAATAAGAAATGCTTCTTGAGCAGCAAATTAGCATATTAGAATGATTTCTGAAGGATCATGTGACACTGAAGACTGGAGTAATGGTGCTGAAAATTCACAGAAAAAAAATTACAGTTTAAATTTTTTTTTCAATTATGCAACGTTATTTTAAATTGTCATAAATTTCACAATATTACCATTTTTACTTAATTTTTTATTAATTAAATACAGCCTTGGTGGGCATAAGACACACACACACACATATAGTCGAATGTGACATCAGGCCTTTTCCTCTTTTAGAGCTTGCTAAACTGAAAAGGATGCTTCCTGAGATGGTTCGCTACGAGCCCACCTGGGAGGACCTTGAGCTCCTGAAAGACGGAGGGGTGGCCATCATAGACCAGTGGATCTGTGCCCATGCAAGGTATTCAACCACACCCTCTGCTGGGATTTTTTTTCTGTCGCAACAAAGAAGTCATGGAATGACATTGCATTTTTTTATGCTGTAGGTGTACAAAACCTGCTTTATCAAATGTGTTAAAAGATCATCTACTACAGTTAGTTGCTTTTCAAGCCAGTTAAGAATTTTTTCTTTAATTCTTTTTTCCTTTATTTCTTTATTTAACTATATTTTTCTTTGTCTAGCTTCATTTTAAATCTGTCCCTAGAGGATTAAGTTGATGAAGTGTCAGTATTAAAGAAAATCCTACAATTCTGTTTCGATTTAAACTTGAGAACTGAGTATAATATAATCACAAAATGTGTTGTTTTTCTCTTGGCAAACTATTTCAAGTTTATATTTTAATATCAGCTTAATTTTAAAAAGTTTATTTAGGATAAAGGATCATTACAAATTCGAAATTCAACGTTTCATTGAATTGGGTGTGACTCTGAAAGATTCTTTCCATTAAAAACCAAAAGCGTCACCTATGACGTTATGACTATCATCTCAAGCACTTGCTTTACTGGAAAAAATGCTCATTGTTTGATATGACAACCAACCTATCAACATATCTTTTCTAAAGCAACAATGTATCACCCACTCACATCTGTTGTCTTTCTTGTCAGGTATTTCACTGGGACATCGGTTTCAACCTTCTCTTTCAGAATACATGAGGAAAGAGAAATCCTAGGTTTCGATCCTAAAACCACCTATAACCGATTCTGTGGTGACGATGAGAACGAATGTGAACAACCAACACACTGGAAAATTGTCTATTAACACAGAAACCACAGAAAACATGATGCTGGTCACACAGACTGCAACTGATTTCTCAGATTTAAAAGTATTGTCTATATTTTTCAAATGTTTTTGCTGACAATGTTGAAAATACCCACTTTTAAAGGATGGATTCCGATCCTGTGTAAAATGTAGGGTTAGTCCTTTGTTAGATAAGGGGAGCCATAAGATAAATATATCAAATGGCTTTTATCTCATATCTTGTGTCAGATATGGAATTTGTGAATGCTGCTGCTCTGTTCTCACAGTTCTTTCATTCGGATTGTTGATACTCAAGATGAACTGTGTATAACACTATGAGCAAACCTGTTTGAAAATGCTCAACATGATTTTTCACCACTGCTCCAGTATTTGAAGTCTAGCTTTTTGTGTAATTTAGTACTTGCCAATTATTTTTGTCTCACCACATTTTTTGCCTTTGACAAATAACATGTATAAACATACAGTGTTAGTGTTTATTTGATATTTCGGTAACACTTTACAATAAGGTTCCTTGGTTAACATTAATAACTACCTTGGTTAACATTAATAACTACCTTGGTTAACATTAATTAACTACCTTAGTTAACATGAACTAAGAATGAACAATACTTCTACAGCATTTATTAATTTAGTTAATATTAATTTTAACATTTACTAATGCATTATTAAGATCCAAGGTTGTATTTGTTATAATGGACTGTGAACTAACATGAACAAACAATAAACAGCTGTATTTTTGATCAACTAACATTAACAAAGATTAATAGATACTGTAACAAATGTATTGCTCACCGTTAGTTAATACATTAATGTTAAATAATGAACCTTATTATAAAGTATCACCTATATTTCTGTCAGTATTGTGCCTGTCTGCTATTTGGAGAAGAAAAAAAAACCATACAGTATTTTTACACTATACAGTAGTGAAGCTTTCTCATGTTCTTATTAATTTGAATACCACAGTGTGCTTTTTGCTTTCATAAAGAAAGCTAACTGGAGGTGTTCAATCACAAGTATATAAAAATTACAAAGATAAGCTTCTGGTATGGCAACATTACACAAGCAGTTTTTCATTGGCAGGTTTGGTTTGTGCATTTCTTTTGTTTGGAAATTTTTAAGTGTATGTTTACCTTTACCATTCTGAAATTACTGTATATGTGCCCGTTCTATAAATGTTTTCTTAAAGGAGCTGTATGTAAGAAATTTATTTCAATTAATCATAAAATGGCCCTGATATATCACGAGACATTAAGAAATCATGTACATTTCAAATACTTATATCACTGACAACAGTAGTCCGGCCAGGATATTGTCATTTAAAAAGTGCAGTTGCAGCCCTCAACTGATGTTGATGTTGTCATGTTGTGTTTTGGTCTGATGCTCCTCCCTCCACCTATCTACCAATCATGAAGTCAGTAGTGTTGCGGCATCCGGGTTGCCAGCTCTGCTCTAGTTACCACAGCTGCAGCTCGTCACGTTCCTGCTGGATCCTACAGCCTATCTGGCAACCTTGAGTCAGGGGGGAGGGGGAGGGGATACACCACTCTACAGTAATTTGAAAGTGATTGCAGTACCAGTTTTGGCCACAATCTTACATACAGCTCCTTTAAAGTTAAAAAAAAAATTAAATTGTAATGATCACATCATTTGATGTGACCGTGATCAAGTGTTTTTTGCTTCATTTCTGTGAAAAGAGTTTTTATTGTTAAGGATTTAAACTATAATCAGTGCCTTGGACTGTAATTCATTATAAATCAGCCACATTAGTTACATTTCTGTAGGTTTTGTTTGTTTATACCTGACTGTTTTTTGCGATCTCTCTCCTGGTGGTTGAATCTGGTTTCATATGATGCTAATCTGTCCTGCTCAAAGCTATACTGATCATTTTACCTCAACTTGTGGGTGGAGAAATGCTTTGTGACTTATTCTCACAGAAAAGAGGCAGCATGAAGTGTTTTTCAGTCTTTTGTTGTTGTTCTGTGTTGAACTTTCCAAGCCAAGTCTCGAATTTTACCAGCATGCTAAGTGGATCCTAATCTTGGGTGTTTAATCAGCTTTAGAATTGAAAAACATAGGTGATATACAATATAATGTATGTACGTTATGTCTTTTTCCTATTAGAATCTAACCTAAAGGAAGGTTTAACTTGATGAACTTTACAATCTAACCATCATGACTTGGTTGACACACTGAATGTGATCTCCATTTCACAGTAAAAAAAAAAAAAAAGTCCTTTAGCTCCTTTGTTCCATTCATGTAAACATGAATAGGCTGGAAAACAAGAATTTCAAACTTGTGTGAAGATCATCATTGTAGAGGAGACTTTTCACACTTCCTTCAGTGAATATTTCTCAGGAGGTTTATTTTTTGTCCGTTTTTTTTTTAGGCACATACTTTAAAGTAAATATTGTAATAATATTTGCTGATCCCGACCTGACATTTAATACCTTTATCCTGAGAACATGGTTCAACCTTTCTGTAAAAATCTTGTTTACTCAGATATAGCAAAAATATGAATTTGAATTTTAGGTTTTACTCTTCATGAAACCTTCCCAGCTTGACATGGATATTAATTTCCTCAACAACAATAGGCGTGTGAACCACAACAGTGATAAGACAGATTTGTGTATCTGAGACCGAATCTTATTGTCACATTTTTAGTTGGGTATATTTTCTCTCTCAGCTTGGTACTAGTTATTAGTGTTGTAGTCAAGACCAAACTGCTGTCATGCTCATATTTGACCAAAACACCTCTTGCTCTTGTGATATTGCTTAATTATATCATATGCTATAACATAAAAATCAAGATCTCATACAAGTACTTTTTTGCAAGCATTATCTTGAATTTTGTGGGAATTTGATTTATTTTGGTAATTTTAGGCATTTTTGACACAATCCCTTGTTGATTACAGACCCGGCACAACAGAAACAAAAGAAATCAAATTATAAACAAGTTATTGTTTGCATTTGAAGCAGGAAGTTTTTCATTCAATTACATTAATGATGTTAACAAATAAGACGATGTGCTGGCAATTTAGTGATATCCCTGCATGCTGTGGTCTTGACCGGTCTTGAAGTAAAATCCCAAGACCGAGACAAGACCAACACCTTCAATAAATGCTCTTGAGACCAGTCTCAAGTAGCTACTACAACATTAGTTAGTTAAGCTATACCAACCTCTCAGTAACACTTTAGAATACTGTTCCATCATTAGTGGATAACAGGAACAAATGAGTAATGCACTATTAACATTCTAGTAACTACGGTTAACTAATGAGAAACTCTGATTAACAAATTAGTAAGTAATAGCACGCAGTTAAATGTGGTAGTTCACTAGCTAATCAGTAACTTTTTTTTCATACCTTCCAGAGAACTAAGAACTACTACAGGTCAATAATTAACATGGATATTTATAATATAAGGTGATGGTAACCCACTAGTAATGACTCAAGTGTTACTACATCCTTCTAAAGGAACTACTACTAATTTGGATCAGTATTCTAAAGTGAAAAGCATGATAACTCTAGAAATGACTGAAGTCATTGTAAGCTTTTGAGAGATTTTTGTAAGATTTTGAAAAGTAATTCCTTCTGATGGATTTGGTAATGCTTGAGTCATTACTAGTGGGTTATCCTCACACTAGAATACTGATCCAAATAATTAGTAGTTCCTTTAGAAGGATGTAGATATTGTTCTTAGTAGTCCTCAGTGAGGTGAAAAAATAGTATTTACTGATTAGCTAATAGTGAACGATCACATTCAACTGAGCACTGTTACTTACTAATTTGTTAATCAGAGTTTCTTGTTAGTTAATAGTATTACTAGAATGTTAATAGTGCGTTACACATTTGTTCCTGTGTAGTTTTTCGTTAATGACAGAAACAGTATTCTAAAGTGTTACCACCTCTCAACTGAAATATTAATATGTAAATAAGTTCAGCTGAAATTGACGAATTAGAGGAAGCACTCTATAAGCTACATGGGACTTTACTAAATTACTTCAAGTTCATTTACAGTTCATTTAAGCAACTTAACTTTTAAATAAATACTTATTAAAAACAGTCTGCTGTAATTTGATGATTTTGAAATCTGATACATGTTTATTTAAAGGTAATGTAATAAGTTTAGCAAATGTACCATTCAAACAGTACCACGCTGTGATATCAGTGTTGGATGTAATTAATTACTGTAAATAATTACTATAATTTAGTTACTTTCCCCTTGAAAAAAATAAAGTAAGGGGTTACTCTTAGTTTTTCTGTCATTTAATTACAGTTAGCCTACTTCTTATGTAATTGCATTAATTGACTTTATAACAACTTGATAAAACAACAGTGGATTTAACATCAAAATGTAATGTTAAAATGTATGTTTTTAATGTAACCTTCTCCCTTTACTCACTTTGGTCAGCATTGCATCCTTGCACTGGCCGAGGTTGATTATTAAAAAGTATAGTAACAAGTAATCCAATACTTTTTTAGAGATAGTAACTAGTAATCTGATTACACTATTGAAGATGTAATTAGTTTAGCTATAATAAATTACTTTTTTAACTTACCCAACACTGATGGTTTCATATCATTATTTGATATAGGCCTATAGGATATGTACGCTATTTTATGGAAGAGTAGACCTACTTCAAAGTCATGGTAATGCAATAGTTCTTTATGTGCTTTAGTGAATTGTTAGTGTGTTGACTTCTCTTTTGTTTGGAAAATGTCTTGACCTGCAGTATACTTAATGCTGCAGGTGTTAAACCTTTAAATAAAGAGTTTCCTTATCACTGACAAACGATAGAAACAATAATCATATCTTGTTTCAATTCATAGGTATTTTTTTTTCCCTTGATCCACTGGTTTTGTTCTCTGCGCCTACATATCACGTTACTGTTGTAGAGAGAAACTGTTCCTGAATCGCAAACCGATTCTACGGTGGCACGTTGCTGTTACGGTGGGACAGATACAAGAGGCGTGCGGATCCATGTGCAGAGCTTTTAATCAGCAAGATGCGTTCAAAACAGGCAGAGACTTAATCATGAACAAACAGGCAAAGATCAGAACCAGCAAAAACAACCGTGAAGACTGGGCCAAAACGTAGTACAAAACCAAGCAAATGATCAGGACAGGCAGCAAATACTCATAGTCGGAAGGCCAAGCAGAGGTATCAGAGACAGGGGCCCAATCCCAAATGGCACACTTCATGTGCACTTTCGGTCTTGTGGACTCACGGTGCGGATCCACTTGTCCGTGCGGCACTTCAGTCGCGTCGCACTCCACTTTTTTCCTATGGGTGACGTCACGCGACTTTAACGCGCCCGCAAAGCATCCCGGGAAGGCGGCGCTTCATTTGGAAAAATGCTGCGCGTCCAAAAGCTGGCCGATGCCCAGCTTTATGCAAATGAATCCGCCAAACGCGACGCGTCTATCCAATAGAAGTAGTCTCTCGAGGGGCCTTTGTTCTAGACT